CTTTTCTGTTTGTGATCTAGGTCTCACCCTTTTTCCTGTTTCTCTCTCAGGTTTCTTTTCTGGATTAACCCAATCAGCATAGATTAGAGGATCTTTGTTTTTGTTTTTTTTTTTTTTTTGAGACGGGGTTTTGCTCTTGTCGCCCAGGCTGGAGTGCAATGGCGCGATCTCGGCTCACAGCAACCTCCGCCTCCGGGGTTCAAGTGATTCTCTTGCCTCAGCTCCTGAGTAGCTGGGATTACAGGTGCCTGCCACCATACCTGGCTAATTTTATGTTTTTAGTAGAGACGGGTTTCACCATGTTGACCAGGCTGGTCTCGAACCCCTGACCTCAAATGACCTGCCCACCTCAGCCTCCCAAAGTGTTGGGATTACTGGCGTGAGCCACGGCACCCAGCCCCAAATGGCCTTTTAAACCGTAAATCAGGTCACCTCACTCCCTGTGACCTGTTACTTTTGCTATCATGCACGGGGCCTTGACGATCTGGTTCACAAATCTTAAGATGATCTCTGACCTCATCACAGCCGCCACCCCTGGTTCTCTCTGGCTCCGTCTACTCCGGCCTTCGCAGTCAGTCCCCAGCCTCCACACGGGTTCCTGGGCCTCAGGTGGCCTCCCGCAGCGTGCCCGTGGCTCGTTCCGTTTCCTTGCTGAGGTCTGTGCCCAAATGTCATTCCTCCCAGATGCCCGTCTAGAATCCACGCCGCCGTCCCAGCTTCCCAGTCGCAGCCGTGATCTTACCCGCCCTGTTGTCTTTCTGTTACTTGCCAGTGTCTGAAATTAGGTTCCTATTTATATTCTTATTTATTGTCTGTCTCTCCCACTGGAGGAGGAAGTCCACCAGGGCAGCAGCCTCATTTCTTTCCTGAATCTCTTGTGCTTAGAACAAGCCTGGCACACAGTAGGTACTCAGTTGCTTTCTTTTGAATGACTTTCAGCTCTTACCAGTTATAAAACATAGCGGGGTAAAACACAATGTGCTGACAACAGCATATCTCCTACACATCAGTAAGTCAAAGATAAGCAACATTTACACTGTCGATGGGAGTGTAAATTAGTTCAACCATTGCGGAAGACAGTGTGGTGATTCCCCAGGAATCTAGAACCAGAAATACCATTGGAGCCAACAATCCCATTACTGGGTGTATACCCAAAGGATCATAAATCACTCTTCTGTAAAGACATATACACATTTATGTTTATTGCAGTAAATATACAATAGCAAAGACTTGGAACCAACCCAAATGCCCATTAATGATAGACTGGATAAAGAAAATGTGGCACATATACACCATGGAATACTACGCAGCCATAAAAAAGAATATAGACAGCATGGAATACTATGCAACCATAAGAAAGAATATAGACACCATGGAATATTATGCAGCCATAAGAAAGAATGAGTTCATATCCTTTGAAGGGACATGGATGAAGCTGGAAACCATCATCCTCAGCAAACTAACACAGGAACAGAAAACCAAACAGTGCATGTTCTCACTCATAAGTGGGAGTTGAACAGTGAGAACACATGGACACCGGGAGGGGAACATCACACACCGGGGCCTGTTGGCAGGTGGGGGGCAAGGGGAGGGAGAGCATTAGGAGAAATACCTAATGTAGATGACGGGTTGATGTGTGCAGAAAACCGCCATGGCACATGTTTTCCTATGTAACAAACCTGCACATTCTGCACGTGTATCCCAGAACTCAAAAAAAAAAAAAAAAAAGTCTTGAGTGTGGTGGCTCATGCCTGTAATACCAGCACTTTGGGAGGCCGAGGCAGGCGGATCACCTGAGGTCAGGAGTTCAAGACCAGCCTGGCCAATGTGGTGAAACCCCATCTCTACTAAAAACAGAAAAGTTGGCCGGGCGCGGTGGCTCAAGCCTGTAATCCCAGCACTTTGGGAGGCCGAGACGGGCGGATCATGAGGTCAGGAGATCGAGACCATCCTGGCTAACACGGTGAAACCCTGTCTCTACTAAAAAATACAAAAAACCAGCCGGGCGAAGTGGCGGGCGCCTGTAGTCCCAGCTACTTGGGAGGCTGAGGCAGGAGAATGGTGTGTACCCAGGAGGCGGAGCTTGCAGTGAGCTGAGATCCGGCCACTGCACTCCAGCCTGGGCGACAGAGCATGACTCCATCTCAAAAAACAAAAAAACAAAAAAACAAAAACAGAAAAGTTAGCCGGGCTGGTGGCGGGTGCCTGTAATCCCAGCTGCTCAGGAGGCTGAGGCAGAGAATTGGTTGAACCCGGGAGGCGGCGGTTGCAGTGAGCTGAGATCTCACCACTGTACTCCAGCCTGGGCCACAGAGTGAGACTCTGTCTGCTCCCCTGCCCCCGCCGCCAAAAAAAGAAAAAAAACAGATAAGCAACAAAAATGAGGCATCATTTTTCCCCCTAGCAGACTGGAAAAAGTGATGACAGTGATAATGTTGGTGAAGGCACTAGGACATGGGCTCCTTCATTTGCCACTGGTGGAAATGTAAAACGGTCTAAGCTTTCCTACGTGGTGAGTCATGGGTAATTTTTAATCTCAATTTTTGCGGTTTGCTATGTTTCCCAACTTTTTTCCAATGATTTTTTTTCCTCCAAGAATTACTTTTTAAACCACAAAAAGTCATCATTTTAATCTTCCTTTTAAAAAAAAATTAACCTGGCTCAATCCTTGCACAGCAAACTTATGAAGCAGATCCCGGCGGCAGGATGGTCTGGTTCTGTTGTTGAACCTCTTAAGGATGTTTAATCTGAATTCTGTACCAAGTTTCTCTGGCATGATGCAATTGTGGTCATTAAAAACTGGGTCTGGGCCGGGCGCGGTGGCTCACACCTGTAATCCCAGCACTTTGGGAGGCCGAGACGGGTGGATCACAAGGTCAGGAAATCGAGACCATCCTGGCTAACACGGTGAAACCCCGTCTCTACTAAAAAAATACAAAAATTAGCCGGGCGCGGTGGCAGACACCTGTAGTCCCAGCTATACCGGAGGCTAAGGCAGGAGAATGGCTTGAACCTGGGAGGCGGAGCTTGCAGTGAGTGGAGATCGTGCCACTGCACTCCAGCCTGGGCGACAGAGTGAGACTCCGTCTCAAAACAAAAAAAAAAAAAACAAAAAACAAAAACCGGGTCTGGGCGTGGTGGCTCACACCTGTAATCTCAGCACTTTGGGAGGCCAAGGCGGGAGGATCACCTGAGGTCAGGAGTTCCAGACCAGCCAGGCCAACATGGCGAAACCCGTCTCTACTAAAAATACAAAAACTAGTCAGACGTGGTAGTGGATGCCTGTAATCCGAGCTACTCAGGAGGCTGAGGCAGGAGAATCGCTTGAACCCGGGAGGTGGAGGTTACAGTGAGCCGAGATAGAACCATTGCACTCCAGCCTGGGCGAAGAGCGAGACTCCATTTAAAAACAAAAACAATGTGCAGAACTGTTCTTGTTGTGAGGTCCTGGGCTGGTTCTCTGAGCCCCCCAGAAAGGTGGGGCTGGGAAAAACATGCAGACTGAGGGTAGTTTGAGGTGGGTGGGGTCCCATAGCCCTTCCTGCCAAGATACAGGTCTCCACAGACAAGGAAGCCCAGCATTGCCCTCCCCTCACTGCCTGGGATGGGACTCGGGACAGTCCTTGTCCCGCCACGCACTGCCCTCTTCTCTCTGTTCTTCTCTCTGCTGCTGCCTTCTCACGCCTGCCTTCCTGCAACACATCCTTGCCCTGTTCTGCCCAAAGGCCCAGCCTTCCTCCAGAGACCCTCAAGGCCCCAAGCAGGGAAGCTCACAGCTGAGTGGCCTAAACAGTGGGGCACCCTGCAGCTTCCCTGTTTCTGTCTTTTCTAGAGGTACATTGCTAGCTCAACAATGCATTTATTTACTTTTTTTGAGACGGAGTCTCGCTCTGTCACCCAGGCTGGAGTGCAGTGGCGCGATCTCAACTCCCTGCAACCTCCACCTCCGAGGTTCAAACGATTCTCCCGCCTCATCTTCCTGAGTAGCTGGGATTACAGGCGCCCACCACCACGCCCAGCTAATTTTTGTATTTTAAGTAGAGACAGGGTTTCACCATGTTGCCCAGGTTGGTCTTGAACTCCTGACCTCAGGTGATCCTCCTGCCTTGGCCTCCCAAAGTGCTGGGATTACAGGTGTGAGCCACTGCGCCCAGCCCCAACGTCGCATTTAATTATGTTGGTTTTTGGGCTTGGCGGGGAAGTTCTAGAGCACCCAGTCACCTGCCCATATGGCGTTCACCCCGATGGCAGTGAGCGAACAGAGGAGGCCACCCACACTCGGCTTCCAGTCCTGCGCTTTGCATTCCATGTTCTCAGCTTCATTCGTCTTAGACCGTGGATGTCCGACCGTGTGCACAGCCAACCTCAAGAATCTGCCATAGACTGAAGCAGGTTTTATGCGGCACTGAGAGCCAAGGGTTGGGGCTGACTCTGGGCATTGCTTCCCTCGTGCTTTGCAGGGAACATAACCACGACTGTGATATTTCAAGTGCAGGGACCTGGTGAAGGGCTGAGGGGGCAGATTGTAACTACGTGGCCTTCTATTGGAAAACCCGTCTCTTCTCTCTTGGGGGGAAGGGGCCACGGGGAGCGGCTACTGTTGCCTGCTGCCAGGGTGGCGAGGCTCTCATGAAAATCTTCCCTTCCTTCCTTAACCACCTGGTGGTCTGATTGTGTCGTGAAGATGCGACATCCATCTTCATCTTCGTGATTTTTAGAGACGTAAAAGGGTCGTACGCTCCAGGATGAGTGTGGTCTTCCGTCAGCCTCCACCTCAGAGTCCCCTGCGCTGTGCAGACCCTGGGGGCCAGTGGGATTGTAGTTAACGTGCCCCTTTGCCCAGCAGCCCTGCTTGGGATCCATTGTTCTTTTCTGTGTCTTGAATGCTTGCCAGTTCATCCAGCCTCCAGGCCTAAGGGGCTCAAAAGAACTCTGCAAGAAGAACTCTGCAATGAATCTGGTCTGGACTTAACCACCTTCTTTTACTTTTCTTCATACAGCTCAAACTTTGGAACAAATACCGAATTTCCAACATTCCATCGCTAATATTCCTCGACGCCACCACTGGGAAGGTTGTGTGCAGGAACGGGCTGCTGGTGATCCGAGATGACCCAGAAGGTAAAACCTCAGCACGTGCATATGGTCCTCTTATTACCCAGCCCCTCCTCCTCCATGCCCCTACCCTCATCGCCGTCCCACCGGTAGAGAGAGTCCTCGTGAAATAGATACACGTGGGTTTACATGGCTAGAGAATGTCATCTTGGTGAAATCATAGTATTCCCTGGGACATGGTTTTTAGATTTTTACGGGGATCTGAATGTCCCTCCTAGGAGCTTTCATTCATGGGCCAAAAGAAGCCCTGCTCGGAGGGCCGCGGAGGCTGTGGGAAAGCAGGAAGAGCTCAGACCCCGGCTTCTAGAGCTGCGTCCGTGGCAGCTGCCCCTTCACGGTGAGAGGCAGGCCGAGGGGGGTTTTTCCTCTTTAAAATATGACATAGCGAAGTCCCAGCCCCCGCGTCACTCTCCTGGCCTTGGCGGTGAGTGCACCTGGTTGCTTGGAGCTGCCACGCCCTGCAGGCCTTGGTCTTGCTGGCCACGTGTGGGCCGTGCTCCTCCAGGCCCCCTCTCAGAGCCGTCGCCGTGGCCTCCTTCCCTCTGGCAGTGAGAACAGGCCGGAGATCTCCTCCCCTCACTTCATCCAGTGAGACGATTCAGCCCCTGCTCACACGTTTTCCCAGTGGACACGCCACCTCCTTCAAAGAATCGCCCTCAGTAAAAACCAGGGCATGGTGGGACCAAGTGCGAAGCTTTTCCTTTTTTTTTCTTGTTTTTTTGAGACAGTATCTTGTTCTCTCGCCCAGGCCGAGTGCTGTGGCATGATCACGGTTCACTGCAGCCTCGACCTCCTGAGTTCAACTCACCCTCCCACGTAGCTGGGACTACGGACATGCACCGTCACACCCAGCTAATGTTTTATTATTTGTAGAGATGTGGTCTCTCTAGGCAGCCCAGGCTGGTCTCAAACTTTTGAGCTCAAGCAGTCCGCCCACCTCAGCCTCCCAAAGTGCAGGGATCGCTGGGCTGAGCTGCGGAGCCTGGCCCCCGTGCGGATTCCTGAGCCCGACCTCCAGAGCATTGTGGATCCCTCTTGTTTCCGGGGAGGCCCAACCACCTGCGTTTTCAACCAGCCTGTGCTCCTCCTTCCCAGCCCCTGGCTGCCAGGTGACTTTGAGGCAGCGGGTCCATGGACCGCCCTGTGAGAAAACACCGCAGTTGAGGGGGAAGCATATTATCAACTCCCCCTACCCGGAGCTCAGGTGTCTTCAGAACGTGGACCATCTGGGCTGGGTGGGTTTTACCCTTTTATTAGACTTAAATTCTCACTTGGTTCCCTGAGCCCATCAAGGGCCATTGAATCAGAATCTCTGGGCGTGGGGCCCAGGAGCATGATATTTTTAAATTCCCAAGCTGATTCCAAATACAATCAGACCTGACAGCCACTGGGATGTGGCGGCTGGGATTGAATCATCCAAATACAGTCAGAGCTGACCACTGGGATATGGCAGCTGGGATTGAATCATCCAAATACAATCAGACCTGACAGCCACTGGGATGTGGCGGCTGGGATTGAATCATCCAAATACAGTCAGAGCTGACCACTGGGATATGGCAGCTGGGATTGAATCATCCAAATACAATCAGACCTGACAGCCACTGGGATGTGGCGGCTGGGATTGAATCATCCAAATACAGTCAGAGCTGACCACTGGGATATGGTGGCTGGGATTGAATCATCCAAATACAGTCAGAGCTGACCACTGGGATATGGCAGCTGGGATTGAATCATCCAAATACAATCAGACCTGACAGCCACTGGGATGTGGCGGCTGGGATTGAATCATCCAAATACAGTCAGAGCTGACCACTGGGATATGGCGGCTGGGATTGAATCATCCAAATACAGTCAGAGCTGACCACTGGGATATGGCGGCTGGGATTGAATCCATCCAAATACAGTCAGAGCTGACCACTGGGATATGGCGGCTGGGATTGAATCATCCAAATACAGTCAGAGCTGACCACTGGGATATGGCGACTGGGATTGAATCATCCAAATACAATCAGACCTGACAGCCACTGGGATGTGGCGACTGGGATTGAATCATCCAAATGCAGTCAGAGCTGACCACTGGGATGTGGTGGCTGGGATTGAATCCACAATCCTGGGTATCATTCCCAGGATAATCCACAACCCTGGGTGTTGATTCCCGAGGCCCCAAGGCGATGAGCCCCTCATCAGAGTTACCTGGGGAACCTGTTCGTTTTGCGTGTACATCTTTGCGTTGCTCCTCGGTCTCCAGCCTCAGGACGTGGCCTGGGCATTCGTACGTTTCAAAAGCCCCTGGAAGACAGACCTTGTGACCATCCAGGTTTGGGAACCATTGCCTGGAGGGCAGATACTGGTTGTACTTTGATTCCTGTGTTTCCTGCAGATGCTGTGGGTGTGTTCACAAGCACTGTTTGATGATTAAGTTGTCACGCCTGCCGCTCTGAGGCCTCCTGGGTCCCAGGCCGTCAAGAAGAGTCTTAACCCTCTTTTACCATCTGTTTCAGGTCTGGAGTTCCCCTGGGGGCCTAAACCCTTCCGGGAAGTCATTGCAGGGCCCTTGCTTCGAAATAACGGGCAGTCCCTGGAGAGCAGCAGCCTGGAGGGGTCTCACGTGGGCGTCTACTTCTCCGCACACTGGGTGAGTGTTTGGGCCCCTGTGGCTCAGACAGAAGGAAGCAGGGACGTGCCCAGCAAGCCCAGCTGTGGTTGGCGTCTGGGGGTGAGATGCCCAGGCAGGAATTTCCCGGCCCTGTGGTCTTTTCCTGTGCGCGAGGCCTGCTTGAATAGTGCTTGTGATTATGAATGGAAAAAGCAGCAAGAAATGACTTCTTTGATCTATAACGATAGTCCTCTTTTTTTTTTTTTTTTTTTCCTGAGACAGAGTTTTGCTCTGTTGCCCAGGCTGGAGTGCAGTGGCGCGATCTTGGTTCACTGCAACCTCCCGCCTCCTGGATTCAAGCGATTCTCCTGCCTCAGCGTCCCAAGTCGCTGGGATTACAGGCATGCGCCACCACACCTGGCTAATTTTTGTATTTTTAATAGAGACAGGGTTTTGCCATGTTGGTCAGGCTGGTCTCGAACTCCTGACCTCAGGTGATCTTCCCACCTCGGCCTCCCAAAGTGCTGGGATTATAGGTGTGGAACCATCATGCCTGGCCCTCTGTTTTTTTTTGTTTTGTTTTGTTTTGTTTTTTGGAGACAGTGTCTTGCTCTGTCGCCCAGGCTGGAGTGCAGTGGTGTACCACTGGAGTGCAGCTCACTGTACCTTCCGCCTCCCAGATTCAAGTGATTCTCCGGCTTCGGCCTTTCAAGTAGCTGGGATTACAGGCATGCACCACCATGCCCGGCTAATTTTTTTTTTTTAGTAGAGACGGAGTTTCTCCATGTTGGTCAGGCTGGTCTCGAACTCCTGACCTCAGGTGATCCGCCCACCTTGGCCTCCCAAAGTGCGGGCATGAGCCACAGCACCCGGCCTGGATATTTCTCTCAATCCACGCGGATGAGTTCATGCTACCTGCGTGCGCCCTGCATAGGGACGATGCGGGTGCTTGTGCCGGATGCTCACCCTTAAGAAAGGCAAATTTAGGCCGGGTGCGGTGGCTCAAGCTTGTAATTCCAGCACTTTGGGAAGCCGAGACAGGCGGATCACGAGGTCAGGAGATCAAGACCATCCTGGCTAACATGATGAAACCCCGTCTCTACTAAAAAATACAAAAAAACTAGCCGGGTGAGGTGGCGGGCGCCTGTAGTCCCAGCTACTCGGGAGGCTGAGGCAGGAGAATGGCGTGAACCCGGGAGGCGGAGCTTGCAGTGAGCCGAGATCCGGCCACTGCACTCCAGCCTGGGCGACAGAGCGAGACTCCGTCTCAAAAAAAAAAAAAAAAAAAAGGCAAATTTAGTTTTGCCTCATTCATTCAGGGGACTAGGTCTTGCTGTGTTGCCCAGGTTGGCCTCAAATTCCTGGGCTCACGCGATCTACCGGCCTCAGCCTCCCCAGTAGCCACCACACCCATCTCATTTCCACCCGTTTCATGAACAGGATTTTGCTGTCCCAATCCTGCTTGGGTCCCGCTAACCCGGCCTCGGAGGGTGAGTGACTGGGTAGTGGAGAAGCAGCGTCACCCAGCAGGTCTTGCTGTCCTGTCTTGCAGTGTCCGCCCTGCCGAAGCCTCACCCGGGTCCTGGTGGAGTCCTACCGGAAGATCAAGGAGGCCGGCCAGAGCTTCGAGATCATCTTCGTTAGTGCAGACAGGTCAGTTGTGCCATGAAGTGCTGGGCCCCTTTTCTGTAGGTAGCTGACATCCTTTTTTTTTTTTTTTTCTGAGATGGAGTCTCACTCTGTCACCCAGGCTGGAGTACAGTGGCTGGATCTCGACTTCCTGCAACCTCCACCTCCTGGGTTCAAGCGATTCTCCTGCCTCATCCTCCCAAATAGGATCGAGTGGTTCTCCGGCCTCAGCCTTTCAAGTAGCTGGGACTACAGGTGCCCGCCACCACGCCCGGCTAATTTTTGTATTTTTAGTAGAGATGGGATTTCATCATGTTGGCCAGGATGGTCTCAAACTCTTGACCTCGTGATCTGCCCACCTCGGCCTCTCAAAGTGCTGGGATTACAGGCGTGAGCTACCGCCCCGGGCCGGATGGCTATTTTCTCAGCTCTGGCCATGCGCTGTGTCTGGTGCTATTTGAATGCACACAGATACACACGGATACACACGGATACACACGGATAAGGAATCACAAAACAGACATTCTCCCCGGTGTCAGTCAGCTCCTCTGAGCCACAGGTTCCTCTGCTTCTTACCTTCTCTAAGGCCTCACGTATCAGGGAACCTCCTTCACCTCGAAACTCCCGCCCCAGTTGAGACTGAGTCACCAGGGGCCTCTGCCGCTTACGTTCGTGTCCACAAAAGAATCCGAGATGCCGGCACACGGAGGGCGCTTCGCACACTGTTGTACCTGCCGTGTCACAGTCCCCATCTCAGCATGAAGCCGTTCCAGGGGCAGCAGCCAGGGATTTTTTGTTGTTTTTGAGACGGAGTCTCGCTCTGTCTGCCAGGCTGGAGTGCAGTGGCCGGATCTCAGCTCACTGCAAGCTCCGCCTCCCAGGTTCAAGTGATCCTCCCACCTCAACCCCTGAGCAGCTGGGATTACAGGCACCCGCCACCACACCTGGCTAATTTTTGTATTTTTAGTAGAGATGGGCTTTTGCCATGTTGCCCAGGCTGGTCATGAACTCTAGAGCTTAAGTAATCCGCCCGCCTCGGCCTCCCAAAGTGCTGGGATTATGGGTGTGAGCCACTGTGCCCGGCCACAGTCTTTTTTTTTTTTTTTTTTTTTTTTTTTTTTTTTTTTTTTTATTTTTTTTTTTTGAGACTGAGTCTGGCTCTGTCGCCCAGGCTGGAGTGCAGTGGCCGGATCTCAGCTCACTGCAAGCTCCGCCTCCCGGGTTACGCCATTCTCCTGCCTCAGCCTCCGGGTAGCTGGGACCACAGCGCCTGCCACCTCGCCCGGCTAGTTTTTTGTATTTTTTTAGTAGACGGGTTTCACCGTGTTAGCAGGATGTCTCGATCTCCTGACCTTGTGATCCGCCCGTCTCAGCCTCCCAAAGTGCTGGGATTACAGGCTTGAGCCACCGTGCCCGGCTTTTTTTTTTTTTTTTTTGAGACGGAGTCTCGCTCTGTCGCCCAGGCTGGAGTGCAGTGGCGCGATCTTGGCTCACTGCAAGCTCCACCTCCCGGGTTCCCGCCATTCTCCTGTCTCAGCCTCCTGAGCAGCTGGGACTACAGGCGCCCGCCACCATGCCCGGCTAATTTTTTTATATTTTTAGTACAGCTGGTGTTTCACCATGTTAGTCAGGATGGTCTCGATCTCCTGACTTCGTGATCTGCCCGCCTTGGCCTCCCAAAGTGCTGGGATTGCAGGTGTGAGCCACTGTGCCTGGCCACAATTACTTTTAAAAATTTTTAAGCATCAACTTTATTGAAGCGTAATGTATACATTATAAAATGCATGCATTTAAGGTACACAGTTCAGCTGACCAATGTACGTACCATGTAACCACCATCACCACAGACAAGACCCGGAACGTTTTCATCACTCTGTAGGTTCCTTGGGTCCGTCTCCTCCCATAAACCCAGCCCCAGGAAACCCCTGATCCATTTCTGCCGCTTGAGTAGATGTGCCTTTCCTAGGGTTTTTTACATGTGGAATCAAAGGTATATGGTTGGTTTAAATTTGTGGCCCCGTAGAAGTCACTGTTCTGTGCACAGATTAGAACTCCCACAGGTATGCAGTGACTGTGCACATCTAAGCTCCTGAGGCAGGAAAGACCTGTCTGTGCTGAGAAATGGAAAGCTGGACTTGAGTTACGTTGCTCAGATGGGAGCAGCTGAAGTGGGCTGGCGTCTGAGCTGGGACCTGCCTGCTGTGTGGAGGCATTTGCTTCTTAGCGGACCCCAGCCTGGGCAGAATAACACACTCCCACAGCCAGTTGCCTGAGAAGCACAGTGGCTGGAAACCCCAGCTTCCGCCGAATCCCTGGGCAGAACTCGGCAGAGGTGGGAGGATTTGGCGGTGGTGCAGTGGGGACGCTGAGCTGTGCTCACCGCGTATGTCTCTCTGCAGGTCGGAGGAGTCCTTCAAACAGTACTTCAGTGAGATGCCCTGGCTCGCCGTCCCCTACACTGACGAGGCCCGGCGGTCACGCCTCAACCGGCTGTACGGAATCCAAGGTAGGTGCTCTAGGCCCCGGCTCCTGGAAACCTGCTCGCCCGGGCCCACCATGTCTTTGGCTTTCATTTAAGAAGAAAGGCATCATTATTTCCATGAATAGTCATGTTCCTCTCATGTTTCTCCGTAGTGTAGAATTTTCCTGGTGTGAATTCTAATCCATTTTTTAAAAATAAGTATTGCCAGTCTGGGCGCGGCAGCTCACACCTGTAATCCCAGCACTTTGGGAGGCTGAGGCAGGCAGATCACCTGAGGTCAGGAATTCGAGACAAGTCTGGACAACATGGAGAAACCCCGTCTCTACTAAAAATACAAAAATTAGCCGGGCGTGGTGGTGGGTGCCTGTAGTCCCAGCTACTCGGGAGGCGGAGGCAGGAGAATCGCTTGAACCCGGGAGGTGGAGGTTGCAGTGAGCCGAGATCACATCATTGCACTCCTGCCTGGGCGACAGAGGGAGACTCCGTCTCAAAAAATAATAATCATACTAAATACTGTCTTAGTAAGACAGCTGCTTCTCACTGCCCAGCGTGTGGATTCTGATATGATTGGGACACAGAGCACAGCCTCCCAAATGACGTGGCCATTTGATTAAGGGGAGATCAATGCGGTAGTGACATGTAAGCTAGACTGAAAGAGAAATCCCAGAGGCAGGTCATTCACTGGTACTTCTTTAAATTTTTTTTTTTTTTTTTTTTTTTTTGAGACAGAGTCTTGCTCTGTTGCCTAGGCTGTAGTGCAATGGCGTGATCTCGGCTCACTGCAGCCTCCGCCTTCCCAGGTTCAAGCGATTCTCCTGCCTCGACCTCCCCAGTAACTAGGATTACAGGCATCTGCCACCACACCTGGCTAATTTTTGTATTTTTAGTAGAGATAAAGTTTCACCAAATTGGTCAGGCTGGTCTTGAACTCCTGACCTCAGGTGATCCTCCTGCCTCAGCCTCCCAAAGTGCTGGGATTACAGGCGTGAGCCGCCGCGCCCGGCCTGTTCACTGATACTTCTGATGTACACATTGAGCACGCGCCGTGTCAGGGCCGCAGACGGGCTTGGGGCTGCACTGCCCGATGTCAGGCCTCAGATGGCCCTGCCTGTGGGAGAGGACGTGGTCTGGGCAGCTTCTGCCCCTCCCACCCCCGCACTGTCCCTGTCCCTGACTGTCGCCTGCTCACTGTCATTTCTGGGTGACGGGGAGTGTGCGGCCCGCGTGCCGGAGGAGTCTGGTTTCTGGAGTTGTTACTTCCTGGGCAGCGTTTCGTGTTGATCTCACCAGTCAGCAGCACTGTTCTCACAAGTACAAGTTCGGGCAGAGTCACTGCATCCCACCGCCTCCAACCGCCAAAACAGAAGAAAACCCACAGCCTGTTCTGGGGCAGAATCGCCAAGAATAGGCCTTTGTGGCCCCCCGGGAGCAGAGCTGTTGGGGGATGTGGAGGTGGGGCTGGCAGAGGTCCCATGACCATCGCACCCCTCACTATTGGCTTCTCATCCTTTTTCCCTGCTCCTCTTCCAGCCTCTCTCCTCGGGAGGCCTGCGTTAGAGGGAACACGACGGCTGCCCCGAATTCCCTCAGTGCCGCTCTTCTGCCCTGAAGCATCCCTCTTTCATCCTTGGGTTCCATGACTCAGGAAGTCTGTGTGTCTCCCGCCCCGGTTCCTCTTTCGTGGTAGCGGTATCATCTCTACGTTTTTTCCCTTTTGGTCTCAGTCGTCACCCAGGATGGAGTGCAATGGCACAATCACGGCTCACTGCAACCTCCAACTCCTGGGCTCAAGCCATCCTCCCACCTCAGCCTTCTACCACGCCAGCTGATTTTTAAAGACTTTGTAGTGACAGGGTCTCACTGTGTTGCATAGGCTGATCTCGCACTCCTGGCCTAAGCAATCCTCCTGCCTTGGCCTTCCAAGATCCCTACTTTCTTTTTCTTTTTTTTTTTTTGAGACGGAGTCTCGCTCTGTCGCCCAGGCTGGAGTGCAGTGGCGCGATCTCGGCTCACTGCAAGCTCCGCCTCCCAAGTTCATGCCATTCTTCTGCCTCAGCCTCCCGAGTAGCTGGGACTACAGTGCCCGCCACCACGCCCAGCTAATTTTTTGTGTGTGTATTTTTAGTAGAGACGGGGTTTCACCGAGTTAGCCAGGATGGTCTTGATCTCCAGACCTCGTGATCTGCCCGCCTCGTGATCCGCCCGCCTCGGCCTCCCAAAGTGCTGGGATTACAGGCATGAGCCACAGCACCCGGCCCCAAGATCCCTGCTTTCTAAGGTCCTGTCCTTTTGTTTTTTGAGACGGAGTCTTGCTCTGTTGCCCAGGCTGGAATGCAGTGGTACGACCTCAGCTTACTGCAACCTCCGCCTCCCGGGTTTTAGCGATTCTCCTGCCTCAGCCTCCTGAGTAGCTGGGATTACAGGTGCACGCTACCACGTTGGGCTGATTTTTGTATTTTTAGTAGAGATGGGGTTTTACCATGTTGTCCAGGCTGGTCTCGAACTCCTGACCTCAGGCGATCCACCCATCTGAGCCTCCCAAAGTGCTGCGATGATAGGCGTGAGCCACTGTGCCCAGCTCTTTTTTTTTTTTTTTTTTTTGAGATAGAGTCTTGCTGTCACCTGGAGGCTGGAGTACATTGGCACAATCTCTGCTCACTGTAACCTCTGCCTCCCGGGTTCAAGCGATCCTCTTGCCTCAGCCTCCCAAGTATCTGGGATTACAAGTACCTGCCACCACACCTGGCTAATTTTTGTATTTTTAGTAGAGACGGGGTTTCACCATGTTGGGCAGGCTGGTCTCAAACTCCTGACCTCAGGTGATCCGCCTGCCTCAGCCTCCCAAAGTGCTGGGATTACAGGCGTGAGCCACCTCGCCCGGCCGGCCATAGCCTCTTAAACAAAAACAAATACTGAATTTGGTTTTTCTTTTTTTTTTTTTTTTTTTTGAGACGGAGTCTCGCTGTGTCTCCCAGGCTGGAGTGCAGTGGCGTGATCTCGGCTCACTGCAAGCTCCGCCTCCCGGGTTCACGCCATTCTCCCGCCTCAGCCTCCCAAGTGAATTTGGTTTTATTCAAATTGCACTTATTGACACACAAAACGTCAGTGGCACGAGTTTGATTCATATTTCTAAACTTAATTCCAGATCTTCCTAGGTTTGAAAGATGCTCACGTATGAAGGAAATCATTATATCATTCCAGGGTTATCATTTAGGAAGCGTCTTCTCAGTGCCTTGAGGTTGGGCTGAGCCCCACATCCGGCATTCAGTCTGCGTCGATGGCCTGTTTGTGGTGCCCTGTCCTTGCCCTCCAAGCCGGGGGCTGTTTCTCCTTCAGAGCCTCTCGCTCAACCCTGGTTTCACTGGTATATCCGTTCTGGCTTCTTTCTGGTCTCAGCAGCCGGCAGCCCTCCCGAGACCGCACCATCCCTCGATGGGAGTTGGCCTTTCTTTGCCTCTGAGGATATTTAAATGTGGCCAGACTGGGCCGAAACACCTTTGAACTTGAAGGAACTGTGCGTTCCTTCATAAGCTTCGTAGCATCACAAAACTCTGACCAGTATTTTTTATTGAATTCTGAGTACTTCTGAGCTTTTGTATGATTCCGTGGTTACGGCTTCCAGTCTCATTCAATGGACGTGTTCTAGGTATGTGAACACCCGTACATGCACACACACACGCTCACACATTCACACACACTCATACTCTCACATACCTACACTTACACGGGCACACACACACACCTATACTCACACACCTACACATGCGCACACACACCTACACACACACCCCCCACGCTCACACACATGCACACTCGCACACACAGACTCGCACACACTCACACTCGCTCTGCAGGGTCCTGGCTGTTGGAGTGTCTGGTCTGCACATTCTGTGGGGCCATCTCTGGGGACGTCCTGCTCCCTCTTAGACTCTGTGCCCTGGGGTCTCAGTCCTGTCTCACTTGTTTCTCTCCCGCTGAAGAGTCTGGATGAAGCTTCTTCCACAGAGCAGTGCCAGGTGCCTCCCCTGCCATCACCAAAGGGAGCTGCCTCTGCCTGGCCCGTCCTTGGACTGCCACTGCCCCAGTGTTGGTCACTGCCCCAGTGTTCATCGTGTTGGTCAGGCTGGTCTCGAACTCCTGACCTCAGGTGATCCGCCTGCCTCGGCCTCCCAAAGTGCTGGGATTACAGGCGGGAGCCACCGCGCCCGGCTCCTTTCCTTAACTCTCTAAGCAGGGGAATGTTTTTGGGGAGTCAGGAGGAGGGAGGAACGGAAGGGTCCGAGCAATAGATCCCAGGCATTGGTTGGTGTTTGTCATCCCCTCTCACCCCCACGGCCCTTCAGTTCTGATTTTCATTTGATATTAATGCGCTAAATAGGATGCCGTTAAAGAAAACCTAACTAGACATAGATATCTCGCTGTCGTCCCACCTACATTCCTGCCTCAGCAGCACAACCGTTCTCACTTCTGAGTCTGCTTTGGTTCCTGCCCACCTGCGTACGCACTCACAGACTCGTAACGTACACACGGCACTGTGCACTCCGCGGTGTTTACTAAACAGTGTGGCGCAAACATTTGCCACGTCGCTGCGGTCTTCGTAAGGACCGTTTTCATGATCACGTAATAGTTTGCCTGCTGGTGCGTCCTCACCAGCTCTTTCTGTTCTAGGACCTGCTTTTCCTTCCACTGCTCCTCCCAGCTCCTGGCAATCTTTCGGGAATTCGTCCTGGCTGCCTCCGGTCACGTTGTCATCCATATTGCGCAGAGAAGGCTGCGTCACAGCCCTGCCCGCTCCTCTCTGCCTCCCAGGGTCCTGGACCCCTTCAGCTTCCTTGCCCCAGCCCCCACCTCCTTCCAAACTCCCTGTCCCGTTGGCAGCGGAAAAGGCACCAGGCTAAACCGTGGGACAGTCTCGGTGCACCTGGCTTTGAGATAGTTTTAAATACTTGCAAGTCGGCTCCTCCTCAGAGAGGAGAGTCTGCAGTTTACTCCTCTGTGTTTTGAGGGAGATGGTGAAAGGGGTCTGTGGGCTCTGCTCATGTCGCAGAGCTGGGGACTCGGGGCCGAGCCCTCTCTAGGAACCTAGAGTCCGTGTTCCAAGCCCAGGAGTGTAGCTTGGGGTGGGGGATGCAAAAGTGCGCCAGCCCCACCCTTGGCAGACACCACACTGTTGCCACAGCCCTCACTGCGGTCTTGACGGCGTGTCTGCTTTCTGCTGCTTTAGCTGTAACTTCCTCCAGCCCAGCACAGAGGACTCTTGGTCTCACTAGAGCAAGCGCCCAGTTTTCCGTACCTCTGCCTTCTCACGAGCCAAATAATCAGTTTAGGGATGATTAAAAGAATATAATGGCCGGGCGCGGTGGTTCATGCCTGTAATCCCAGCACTTTGGGAGGCCAAGGCGGGCGGATCACTTGGTCAGGAGTTTGAGACTAGCCTGGCCAACATGGCGAAACCATGTTTCGAAACCATGGCGAAATCAGTATACAAAACTGATTTATAATAATAGCCAATACTTATGGAATACTTACAATATCAATACACCAGGTACTCTGCTAAAAAGTATTTTACAGCGGCTGGACACGGTGGTTCATGCCTGTTATCCCAGCAGTTAGGCTGAGGCGGGCGGATCACCTGAGGTCAGGAGTTTGAGACCAGCCTGGACAATATGGTGAAACCCCATCTCTACTGAAAATAGAAAAAATTAGCCCGGCGTGGTGGCGTGCGCCTGTAGTCCCAGCTATTTGGAAGGCTGAGGCAGGAGAATCACTTGAACCCGGGGGGCGGAGCTTGCAGTGAGCCAAGATCATGCCACTGCACTCCAGCCCGGGCAACAGAGCGAGACTCTGTCTCAAAAAAAATAAATAAAAAATAAAACAGGGAATTGAGTTGCCTGGATCCTCCCTGGAGTCCCAGCTGTACTTTCCCCCAAGCGCCCCAGCCACCCACGCAGGGAAACAAGTTCAGGCAGAGCAGCGATGAGCTGTTCCTTTTTCGTTCCGTCCAGAGGCGCCCTGTGGGCCTGGTTCCCTGTGAATTTCCGGTTAGAGGCTTCGCCCTGCTTTCTCGTTGGAAGTCTGTGTTTCGGGCCGGGCGCGGCGGCTGACGCCTGTAATCCCAGCACTGAAATTCAGTCCCATTAGAAGCTTCACTGTGCTGTCTCGTTGGAAGTCTGTATTTCGGGCCGGGCGCGGCGGCTGACGCCTGTAATCCCAGCACTGAAATTCAGTCCCATTAGAAGCTTCACTGTGCTGTCTCGTTGGAAGTCTGTATTTCGGGCCGGGCGCAGCGGCTCACGCCTGTAATCCCAGCACTGAAATTCAGTCCCATTAGAAGCTTCACTGTGCTGTCTCGTTGGAAGTCTGTATTTCGGGCCGGGCGCAGCGGCTCACGCCTGTAATCCCAGCACTTCGGGAGGCCGAGGCAGATGGGTCACCTAAGGTGGTGAGTTTGAGACCATCCTGGCCAACATGGCGAAACCCCATCTCTACTAAAAATTAGCCGCGTGTTGGGGTGCGCACCTGTAGTCCCAGCTACTCGGGAGGCTGAGGCAGGAGAATTGCTTGAACGTGGGAGGTGGAGGCTGCAGTGAGCTGAGATTGCACCACTGCACTCCAGCCTGGGCAACAGAGCGAGACTCCGTCTAACAAACAAACAAACAAACAACCTGTATTTCGGAGAACCTGCTTCAAGGGCTGGTGGAACAGAGAGTGTGTGAAGGGGGAGAAAGGAAAGAGGTGACTGTGGTCTCAGCCTTCTCCCCCAGGAGCACAGGGAGGTGGGCGGTGCAGAAAGCTGCAGGCACAGGACTTCCCCTGCCCTGGTTAGGACAGTCCCCATCCCAGGTGCTGTGAGAACCCCAGCAGCGCCCACGGCCTGGCAGAGAGCAGCAGCTTCTGCAACAGGTAGATCGGGGTTCCTGTCCCCAGTGTAACCACTGCCTGGCTGGGTGACCTTGGGGGGGCACTTGACCATCTGTAAGGGGGATCCCGGTACTGCCCGCCTCGTCTGTGATGAGGATTAGCTGTCTGCGCCGTGCCAGCCCCGGGCAGACGCGCCGCAGAAGCCAGTTCCGTTTCCCGCCCCTGGTTCATCTTTGGAGGGTACGTACTCGTCGGGGCTGTAGGCCAAGCTCATCAGGACCAGTGGAGGGGGAGGCGGCCTGGCACAGCAGATGCGGATGGTTTCCCCCGTGCAGGTGCCAAGAACGAGTGGCTTCCTTGGGCCCAAGCTGGTTTCTGCTTATGCAGTCACACAGGTCAACACGGCCCGTCCCTGCACACTTCGTCTTAGGCTCTTAGGCGTGATCTGGTGGAACCGTTCCTCGGGGGAAGCCGCTGAGTGCCCCTCAGCAGCCAGGTCGGGGCTCCGTGTCCTCGCCCTGCCATCCTGGGCCCCACAGGCATGGACTCAGAAGAGGCTGCAGCCAGGGTCACGAAGAAGGCCCCTTGGAGGAGGCCCTCGGAGACCCCCAGGCGCTGGGCCGGGAAGTGCGCAGCTTTGCCTTCAGACTGGCTTCTCCTCCCTCTCCATCCCCCATGCCTGCTTCTCTTCCACAGACCCACTCAGCATCCCACGCCAGGGCACACGCGGGTCGGCCGCGGGGCTTATCGCGGCAGCAGGGGTCCCACGCCGGGGCACACGCGGGCCGGCCGCGGGGCTTACCATGGCAGCAGGGGCTCTGGTTTACCCCGTGCTCGTCACTGCCCGATCTCAGAAACACCAACTCTGGGGAAGGACCTTGCTGGGGGGACTTTGGGAAGGGCGTGTGGTGACGGGAGGGGCTCCTGTGCAGCCAGCTGTCCCTGTGGCGGCCCCCGGACCCGGTTTCTTTTGGGCCGCTGTCTCGAGACCAGCCCCCGAGCCTCGTGGATGGACACAGCTGGTGTGGACCCCGGCCTCGGGGTATAAAATGCAGCCGTGAGGACGTGGCTGGAAATGCCCGGGTCTCATGTGTGGCAGCACACGCAGCTCCTCAGGGGCGCTGTCCACGCTGAGCACATCCAAGGAGCCCCAGCGAGAGCCGACTGCGTGTGTGTTCGCGTGCTTGTGCTTTGTGTGTGTGCGTGTGTGTGCGCGTGCTTGTGCTTTGTGTGTGTGCGCGTGCTTGTGCTTTGTGTGTGTGCGTGTGTGTGCGCGTGCTTGTGCTTTGTGTGTGTGTGTGTGTGTGTGCGCGTGCTTGTGCTTGCGTGTGTGTGTGTGTGTGTGTGTGAGATGTCGGAGTGGCCGTCCTCGAGAGCCCATTCTCTGTGGACCTGCTCCCTGAAACATTAGCCACTTCGTCTCATAGGTGTGAACATAATGGATTCATTGATTCCTTTCGGAGGCAGGCACGCCCGTTGTGCCGGTGGCCGCAGCAGGGTACGAAACACGAGGGCCGTGTGTCTGGTACCTCCGCATCCCCCCGACAGGGAAGGAAAATGTCAGCGGAGCAAATTACTGACCGAATACTTGGGAATCTATAAATATTAAATTGCTCTGGCTTTCACATAAAATTCAGGCTCTGGGCAGCCCAGGAGGAGAGGCGTCTGGAACGTGCAGGGTGTGTGGGGGGAGCGGCTGCCAATGGAGAGACAAAGGTCCCGAAGGGTGGGGCCCAGGCCGACTCTGTGGGCCGCGGCTGGGGGTGCGCAGCCCTGGCTGGAGGACAGGCTGCGGGGAGTGGGCTGGAAAGAACCCAGACGCAGAAAACCCACGTGCAGCTGTGACCACCATGGGGATTTCTCTGAGTTTTCGTTGAAGGCTTTTTGGTTGGGGTTGCCTGTGGTTTGCAGGAAAGCTTTCCGTGACTTTTCTTCCCCAGCCCTGGGGAGGGAGGGGGGCTGGGGTGCAGACGGCAGAGGCTGCAGTCAGCTGTCGTCCTCTCTGTGCAGCCAGCCTCAGGTTCCTTCCCGCACTGGCCCTGCGCTCACTGTGGCCGGGCGAGGGCCCCTCCTCTCGCGTCGCATCGGTGGCCACAGCACGTGCACCGTGTGGTCACTGCACCGCCTGTTCCGCGTTTGACCCCCTGCAGCCGGGGAGGGTCTTCTGTGTCTTTGGGAGGCCAGCAGTGAGCGATCTCTCCGATGTGCCAAGACCCTGTGCTAAGTTCTTATTTATTTATTTAGAGACGGAGTCTTGCTCTGTCACCCAGGCTGGAGGGCAGTGTTGCAATCTTGGCTCACTGCAACCTCTGCCTCCCAAGTTCGAGCAATTCTCCTGCCTCAGCCTCCCGAGTGGCTGGGATGACAGGCGCGCACCACCACGCCCAGCTAGTTTTTGTATTTTTAGTAGAGACGGGGTTTCACCATGTTGGCCAGGATGGTCTCGAACTCCTGACCTCAAGTGATCCGTCCACCTCAGCCTCCCAAACTGTGTAAGTTCTTTAACCGCGTGAACTCATTGATCTTTCCATAGCAGAATAAGGTAGGAACAACACCACCCTCATCAGGTTGCAGCTGAGGACGCTGAGGCCCCGAAATGTGAAGGTGACAGGTTACAGGCCCACCCGAGCGGGCTCCATGGCTCCCCCTGGCCAGGCCTGGATTCTCCCCAGGTTTTGTGACTTCAGACCTGGACTCCTCATTGTGAGCCTGTACCAGGTCCTTGGTGGGCTCCTCCGTGGTGGGTGGGACCCCGGCTGGACTCCGCAAGCCTCCTGCCAGGCAGGGCCTGCATCTCCCAGGCCAGTGGCCAAGCACCCCCTCTTCCCCTCAGGCATCCCCACGCTCATCGTGCTGGACCCGCAGGGCGAGGTGATCACGCGGCAGGGGCGGGTGGAGGTGCTGAACGACGAGGACTGCCGGGAGTTCCCCTGGCACCCCAAACCCGTGCTGGAGCTCTCCGACTCCAACGCCACGCAGCTCAACGAGGGCCCCTGCCTCGTCCTTTTTGTAGGTATGAAGCTCCCGGGGGGGCCCGGGTGGGGGCGGGACAGGAGAAGCCTCACTTGGGAGGAGCCTGTCCCTGCAGCTTCTCTGTCACTAGCAGTGCAAGCCTGGGCCTTTGTCTCTCCCAGGAGCCTTGCTTTTGACCCCGATGATTTATTCATGGCCTTGTGGGAGCTGCAGCTGCACTTTCCCTCCTAGCTGCTCCCCAGCTGCCGGCTGGGCAGAACAGGTCAGGCCGAGGATGCCCTGGGGACCCCATGCGCAGACCCATTGTTGGAAAGGGGCGGGTCGCACACACACAGCTGCCGGGGGCTGGCCCCTCTGGCCGAGGCTCACCAAGGCTGCTTCTGCCGGTGCTGTGTGCTCGGGTGAGCTGCTCCCGCCCCGTGGCTGCCCTGGCTCCTCTGTCCTCGCCTGCACCTCCCGGTCTCCCGTCTCACCCACTCTGTGCTCCGAGGGTGACTGCCCAGCTGGGCCAGGAGGACACAGGCTCCCTGCAGTCTGGTGGGATGGCCCTGGTTCCTTTTGCAAAACCTGGTCCTCTGCCTTGGACTTAGGGCTCCCCTCCAACAACTCAGAATTACCGTATGAGGCTGGGTGTGGTGGCTCACGCCTGTAATCCCAGCATTTTGGGAGGTCAAGGTGGGTGGATCACCTGGGGTCAGGAGTTCAAGACCAGGCTGACCAAAATGGTGAAACCCTGTCTCTACTAAAAATACAAAAATTAGCCAGGCGCAGTGGCACGTGTCTGTAATCCCAGCTACTTGGGAGGCTGAGGCAGGAGAATCACTTGAACCCGGGACGCAGAGGTTGTAGTGAGCCCATATGGCACCACTGCACTCCAGCCTGGGCAACAGAGAGAGGCTCTGTCTCAAAAAAACAACAAAAAAAAAGCCACTGACCGCCAGACCACAGTCCTCACCCCCTCCCCCTCACCACCAGTTTCACTAGGAAGTCGGAGGTCCGAGGTTGTGGCTTCTCATTCTGTGGCTGAGAGAAACTAGCAGGCGCCTCAGGTCCTGGCTTAGGGGAAGCTCAGCCTCGCGGGCGGGTTTGTGAGGAATTCAGTGGAAAGTCTCTGCCTGGGGCCCCAGAGCTACTCGGTGGGGTGGGTTCCCCGTGGTGAGCCTGGTGCAGGCGAGACTCTCTTGTCTGGGGCCCCAGAGCTACTGGGTGGGGTGGGCAAGCCTGGTGCAGGAGAGCTCTGGGAGCTTTGCTGCTGGGACGTGTGTGCAGGAAGTTCATTTCCATTCAGGGGCCGCTCAGGTGGGCGTTTCTGCAGCTCAGGCCCCCTCAGCGGGTGCCGCTCTATTTGACAAGCCAGTGTTCCTCCCCGTCTCTTTCTCCCCCCCGATGCCAATCACAGATTCTGAGGATGACGGAGAGTCCGAGGCAGCCAAGCAGCTGATTCAGCCAATAGCTGAGAAAATCATTGCCAAGTACAAAGCCAAAGAGGAGGAGGCGCCGCTTCTGTTCTTCGTCGCTGGGGAGGTGAGTGCGGGGAGAGGCTGGGCCCCCAGGGCTGGATCAGCTGGGACTTCGGGCGCATGAGGGATCCTGGCCCCAGGGCTGCCTGTGCTCCTGAGACAGGCCACAGACAAACGTGGCAAGAAGAGGTGGCCATTCGCCGTGGGAAACCGTTTCCTCCCCTGCTGCTTCCTCTTGTCCTCGCTCCGCAGCCTCAGGTCCGCAGGGGAAGAGCCGGGAGCTGCTTCCAGGGAGAGGGGCCGGGGCCGGAGCCGGAGCGATCCACACCCACTCCCTCGGGGCTGGGTCACGGCCAGGCCCTTGCGGCTTTACAAAACGCTGGGTTCCTGCCTCCGCGCTGGCCGCAGTGGGCCGATCTCATCAGAGGGGTCCTGGCTGGGGCTACCACGTGCACCTGCGGTCACCCAGCCGGCCGGTCAGTGCTGAGGTTGGAAATCGCTGCCGCGCCCCGTCTGTTTCACCGAGGCTGCCCCTTCGAGGTCTCCCGCAGGGCTGCACCGAGCAGGAGACTTCACAGGCTGAGAAAGTGGGGCTCTCAGCAGAGCGCCCTCCCGCAGGTGCCCCATTATCCGGGGCGTGGGACCCTGCGCCCTGCACCCTGCAGACGGGCGTCTCCGCGACTCAGCGCAGGTGCAGGCTCTCGTTCTTGAGTTCCTGCAGCCGGGAGTCTCCTCCACGCCTGCGCTGCTGCCTCCCTTCCCCTCCCCTCCCCTCCGCACCTCACCCCTGCGCCGCCGCCTCCCCTCCCCTCCCCTCCCACCGCACCCACCGACCGACAAACACTTTTGGAGGCCGCCCTCACCCCCTGCCCTCTGTCCACCCATCTGTACCTCCGGTTGGTCAGAGCCCTGTGCTGATTTCACGCTGTGTTCGGATCCCAGGAGAGGCACGGAGGAGGCAGGCGGCAGCGGCCGCCAGACACCCTGCACCACCCATCATCGCCAGACTCAGCAGCTGGCCCTGCCCAGCCCCTGCGTCCCTCCCAGGCGGCTCCGGTCACCTGCTCAGCCCGGGGGTGGAGGGGAACAAAGAGGCTCGCAGGCTCTGCCTGGGGCGGCCGCAGCCACTGCACACCAAGCCCAACCCCAGAGGCTGCGCCACACGCGGGAACTCTGAGCCCTGCAGAATGGCTCTGAGAAAAGATGGCTGCAGCACTGCAAGGGCCCGGCACGGGCGGGGCGGCCTTGAGAGGCGTCAGGCCTGGAAGGAGCATCTGCAGGTTTTCTGTACACCAGGCCGGGTCCGCGTATTTCACCTGGGCTGTCTCCTTAGGCCCTGGCTCTCTGGCTGGGAACACAGTCGCCGTCCTGTTTCACAGGGGAGGGAGGCGAGGTTCAGAGTGGACCAGGGGCTCCTCCGAGGCTGTTCGCTGGCTCACGCCTGGCTGGGCTGGGCTTTGTGTCTCCAAAAAATATATACAAATTAGCCCGGCATGGTGCTGCCTGCTTGGAGTCCCAGCTACTCAGGAGGCTGAGGAGGGAGGATCGCTTGAGCCCAGGAGATGGAGGCTGCAGTGAGCTACAATTGCCTCACTGCACTCCAGCTGGGGCGACAGAAAGAGATTCTAGCTCCCAAAAAAAAAAAGTAGCTCCCTTACAAATCGTTTCTCCTTGTCTTTGGATTTCTGTGTTCGCCTTGGTATCTGCGTGAGGCTGTATCTGACATAAGGGAAATTCACCGGGACAGCTGCTGGGAATGTAGGATCGAGTACCAGCTTCCTTCTCAGATAAGCAGTGAGGCAGTGTCAGCTTCCACAGGGTTCAGGTGGCCCTGTCTTGTGAACTGGCTGGCTGTGCATCCTGCCCGAAACCACGGCTGGGGCGGGCGGTGGGAGCACAGTGAGCTGTCTCTGTTCAAAAACATTCCAGAGCTGAGGTCCAGATTGGCCTCAGATAACCCACAGTGGGGCCGCAAATCATTGACAGTTGGTTACAAGAATAAACACTCGGAGGCTATGGCATTTCTAGGCCGGGTGCGGTGGCTCATGCCTGTAATCCCAGCACTTTGGGAGGCCAAGGTGGGTGGATCACCTGAGGTCAGGAGTTCGAGACCAGCCTGGCCAACATGGTGAAACCCCATCTCTACTAAAAATGTAAAAATTAGCCGGGCGTGGTGGTGGGTGCTTGTAGTCCCAGCTACTCAGGAGGCCAAGGCAGGAGAATCGCTTAAACCCAGGAAGCGGAGGTTGCAGTGAGCTGAGATTGTGCCATTGCACTCCAGTCTGGGCGACAGAGGAAGACTTCATCTTTTTTTTTTTTTTTTTTTTGAGATGGAGTCTTGCTCTGTCACCCAGGCTGGAGTGCAGTGGCCGGATCTCAGCTCACTGCAAGCTCCTCCTCTCGGGTTCACGCCATTCTCCTGCCTCAGCCTCCCGAGTAGCTGGGACTACAGCACCGCCCCGGCTAGTTTTTTGTATTTTTAGTAGAGACGGGGTTTCACCGCGGTGGTCTCATGCCCAGGATCGGTCTCGGATCTCACTGACCTCGCGCCCGGCCGTCATCCGGACCTTCCAAAATGCTGGGAGTGTGAATTTCAGGCTTGATTAAATACAGATTACGTACCTAGTGGTTTCGGGGGGCGGATGCCAAGAGAGAATTTTACAAAGCAGCTCGTTCCTCCCGAAGGCAGGGCAGGGTTCCCTGCTTCCCATGTCCGTGCCGGGAGCCCCCGGAGCTACCACACCTGGGGAGACTGGGCCCAGGGACCCTCCCGCTCCTTTCTTTAAACCGTCTTGGTTTTCTCTCCCTCCTGACGACTTCAGGATGACATGACTGACTCCCTGCGAGATTACACCAACCTGCCTGAGGCGGCCCCTTTGCTCACCATCCTGGACATGTCGGCCCGGGCCAAGTACGTGATGGACGTGGAGGAGATCACCCCCGCCATCGTGGAGGCCTTTGTGAATGACTTCCTAGCAGAGAAGCTCAAACCGGAGCCCATCTAGCGTGGCTCCGGCCTCCTGAGACGTTATTTAAAACTCAGCCTTCTCCTCCTCCTCCCCCTCCTTCCCTCCGCCCTCGGACTTACCCAGCGTGCCCCGAATCACACCACCCAAGTGTCCAGCCTCTCTGTGGTGCCTTGTTTCTGCATTAAACTCCTCAGCCAGCGCCCCGGGGTGCGGAATCCAGCAGCGGCAGAATCCACCGTGTTTGGGAGCGTGGGGTGGCTGGGGGCATGGCCCGGCCAGAGTGGGGGCTGCGTCACTCTCGCAAAGTCACTTGCTTTTGGTGAAAGATTTGCCAGGGTGTTCCAGGGCAGAGTGAGCGTGGAGGGCCAGTGGCCCCCACTCGGGCTGGGACTCGGGCATCGGCACCCACAGAGCCCCGGACGGCCAGAGGGGAACCTCCGGGGGACACCTGTGTGGAGGCAGAGCTGAGAAAGGGCCTGAGCCTCAGTGGGCCTCAGCTTAGAGCTGCGGTGAGAACATCCTTTTCTAAGCGACACAGTCTTTCTTGGTCTGAGAGAAAAGCAGCCCACTCGTGTGTTCTCGGGCAGGGGATCTCCAAACGCAAAAGGAAGCTTGTGGAGGTTTTTTGGGTGAGAAAAAAAAATGTAGCTAAGGTAATGGTTCGTATAGTAACGGCTAATGTTTATGGAGCTCCCGCCTCCTGATGAGAGCTCCTCATTCTTTTCTTCCTTGACCTTGAAGTCTCTGCCTGCTCATACAAAGAGCTCCCACCATCTTGGAATTCTGATAACGAATCCTTCTCTTTGGGCATCTTCCCAAGAAACTTAGCCCTGAGTCCTAGGAGGAGCACCTCTGAACCAGCACAGACCTCTGACTCCACCCAGCTCTGTGCCCGAGGCCCCGATCTCTGGTGAGGTGCCCACGCCCACATTTGATCACCCCTGCCATTGCCTTTTTTCTTTTTTCTTTTGAGATGGAGTCTTGCTCTGTCGCCCAGGCTGGAGGGCAGTGGCATGATCTCGGCTCACTGCAACCTCCGCCCCCAAGGTTCGAGTGATTCTTCTGCCTCAGTCTCTGGAGTACCTGGGATCACAGGCGAGCGCCACTGGACCTGGCTAATTTGTGTATTTTTAGTAGAGGCAGGGTTTCACCATGTTGGTCAGGCTGGTCTCAAACTCCTGACCTCAGGTGATCCACCCGCCTTGGCCTCCCAAAGTGCTGGGATTACAGGCGTGAGCCACCGCACCCGGCCCGCTTTTCAAAGCAGAACTACAAAGATGAGAAATTACCAGAAGCCTCGCCTTTTCCTAAGCACCAGCAGAAAGAGCTGTGCCCTAGGGTGGAGTGAGGGTGGAGGGCGTGTCAGCCACGAGTGGACCTTGTATCGCCTTTGCTAGGCCCAGGTAGGTTGTTGGCCTCTTACTTGGGCTGACTTGACCACCGAGAGGGAAAAAAACAACTCTGTTGTCAGGACTGGGGACGGACGGCTTCGGCCGAGCCTTTGAGCCTGGCTCACTCAGGTGTCAGGGACTTGAAACCGCCCTGGGCCTTACCCTTGGCCCCACTCAGCACTCTGCCAACCAAGACCACTGATGTGGAAAACCCAGTCCCCACCCCCTCATGAGCTGTTGACACTGTTGTTCCTTGCTGAATTGGATTGTTGATTTGTAGTTCAGAGGCGTACAGCGAGTTGGCGATTAGACGTTATGTGACGTTACCAGCCTGAAATGCGATCACCCAGTAGGAAATAAAGCAGGCATCTCTGGACCTTACCCACCGCTGGGCCTTTGCTGTCCTTAATAACAAAAGTCTTTTGTGCTGTGTTCTATCGGGGTGGGCAGCGGAGGACACCTGGTAGCTGGGAGCTGTGTCCCAGGAGTTCTGAGACCCCCAGGATGTAGCATCCATCACATCTTCCTGGTTTCCAGCAGCCAGGAAGCTCATCTGGGTGACAGGGGCAGAGGCAGGTCCCTCCTGGGGCCCTGGCCACCATCGCTCCTGGTTTGACTGGGAAGCTCATCTGGGTGACAGTGGCAGAGGCAGGTCCCTCCTGGAGCGCTGGCCGCCGTCTCTCCTGATTCGACTTGGCCCTGGACGGAGGGCGAATCCTCAGATCATGTACCTTGTTGTGAACATTCTTGCCCATTTCCTCCCTCCAGGGGAGCCGAGTCCTCTGAAGTCTGAGAAAGCTGGTTGGGAAATCAGGAGGAATCACGCACAGGTCTCCTTGTGAAGAATGGGGCAAGTGTGGGAGCCCCTTAATCCCAGCTCGTCCCAGGGCTCAGGGCTTCTCTGGGAACCCTGCCAGTGTCTCCCTTAGAGGTCAGGGTGGGTGGGATGAATGTGGCTGACCTGAATGTGGGAGATGGCAGGATTTCTGTCCGTGCCCTGTATCGTGATGGCCTCGGAGGAAAGGTAGGTTCTCTTAGTTCCTTCTACCTTTAGGGCAGAAGGAACCAAGTCCAGCGAGGGGGTTGCCCTTAGTCATTGCACCTGGATTCTCGACACCAGAATTCCCCTTTTAGAGTGGATTTGTAGCTTCCTTAAGATCCCCGGGGAAGTTTTACTCCAAAGGTTCAGGTTTATACGGTGACGACTCTGCGGGAAACGTTCTGGCAGAATCGCTTCTGAGTGTCAGGGGTTGACAGGGAGAGGTCGTAAAGGTCACTGGTTCCGGTGAAGCGGGGGCGTGATAATCCCCACCAGGCGGCTCCACAGTCCCGCCAGACTCCTGCTGCTAATTGGAAGCAGGTTCAGCACCAGCTGTGGCATATTCAAGGGCTTCCTCCAGCAGCCAGGAAAACCAGGCCCTGCAGGTGGAGGCCGGGGGCTGTGAAAACGCCACCCTGGGGTTCCCAAGTGTGTGTTCACCACAGTGACTTCCAGATCCCATCTGCCCGTTCTCACAACAGAGATGAGGGGTTTTTTTTTTTTTTATTATTGAGACGGAGTCTCGCTGTGTCGCCCAGGCTGGAGTGCAGTGGCTGGATCTCTGCTCACTGCAAGCTCCGCCTCCCGGGTTCAAGCGATTCTCCTGCCTCAGCCTCCCGAGTAGCTGGGACTACAGGCGCCGCCACCGTGCCCGGCTAGTTTTTTGTATTTTTAGTAGAGATGGGGTTTCACCATGTTAGCCAGGATGGTCTCGATCTCCTGACCTCGTGATCCGCCCGCCTCAGCCTCCCAAAGTGCTGGGATTACAGGCCTGAGCCACTGCACATGACCTGTTTTTTTTTTAACCTGTCTCCCAGCATTAAAGATCTGTTTAAGAAAAAGGGTATGTTTTCCACATTGAATTCCTGATTGGGAAAAACAAAATTTATAAAAGGGAAAAGGGCATGTTTGGGACAGGCAGGCATGGCAGATGAAAACCAGCTTCTTTTCCAGAGAGCGGTGACCTCCCGCTCTTGCTTTTCGCCCCTTGGTACGTCCTTGAAATCATCGGCCATCACTTACCAGAATACAGGGAGACAGTACTGTGTTGGCGTTGGCCAAGCTTCTAATAGTAATTTTCAGCCAGACTTTGTTTTTTCCTATTGCCTAATTAAAGACACTGAAAAGCTGTTCTCCCCTCCTGCTGCCTTGTTCTAGGACAGCAAACTGAATTCAGCAACAATACAGACGGAGCCAGATGTGGCCCAGGAGCAGATCCGCGGGACCTAACACGGTGCTGCACGGTGCAGCTTAGGGAGAAAACACAATGTGTGAGAGGGCACAGGTGTCGGGACCCTGCACACCAGGAAGTGTGGTGCCGGGAGGGCCTTGAGTGAGGGCACACGCGTAGGAACCCTGCACACTGGGAAGCGTGGTGCTGGGACGACCTTGAGTGAGGGCACACGCGTCGGGACCCTGCACGCCGGGAAGCGTGGTGCCGGGAGGGCTCTGAGTGAGGGCACACGCTGTTCACAGTGCCCTTGCCCCGGGCAGGCCCATGAATGGTGCCTGCTAGGACTAGAAGGCCGCTGTTGTACACGCTGTGGGTGGCTGGGCACACAGGCCCGTAGGTTCAGGATGCCTCCTGCAGCTTCTCTCTGGGGGCAGCTTTGGGAGCCAAGGACTGAGCAGGGGGCCATGAGCTCAAAGGATCTTTCCAGTTTTCCCCGAAGCAGTTGAATGAGAGAAGTGGGCACTTAGCGCCACCCCTCACTGCTGCCGCCGACAGATGAGAGCACACACCTGCTTCCTCCAGGCTGCGGCTGCTCAAGGGAAAATTATTTGGGAACAAATAGCTGTTGATCATTAGCTTCGTTGGTGCTGGGAACATAACAAGGGTATTCTAGGTGCACCTTGCATGTGGGCACATGAAGACAGGTAAGTATGCTTACTGTCATTTTTCTAGGCGTGTGTCTCACCCCCTTGGTGCTTTGAGATACTTCCCAAGCCTGAGAATGTGTTTGGAGGTTTGGGTGGAACTGCTGGGTTTCTGTTAAATAACACACAACTCGCGAAAGCCTCTGTCCCAGGTCTGCAGGCCAGTGTGCAGTCCAGAGGCAGAGATGGCAGTCTGGATTCCTGGGTGCTCAGGCCTCACACACATGAGGAAGCCACCCACGTGTGCTAGAACTAGGATACAGTAGGGAGGGCCAAAAAAATCAATCTCGAATGTCAGAGGACGTGGAAATCCTGTCCCTGTCAGGGAAGAGCCACTCAGCTTGCAGTCAGCACACCCCGCCCTCGGCGTCTCAGAGGAGCAGGGAAGGGAGGCTGAGGCTCCTCCGTCCCCAACCGTGTTCCCTGTTCCCTTCCTGCAATTTTTTTTTTTTTTTTTTTTTTGAGACAAGAGTTTTACTCTTGTCACCCTGGCTGGAGTGCAGTGGTGTGATCTGGCTCACTGCAACCTCCGCCTCCCGCGTTCAAGCAATTCTCCTGCCTCAGCCTCCCGAGTAGCTGTGATTACAGGCGCCCGCCACCACGCCCGGCTAATTTTCTTGTATTTTTAGTAGAGACGGGGTGTCACTGTGTTAGCCAAGATGGTCTCGAACTCCTGACCTCGTGATCCGCCCGCCTTGGTCTCCCAAAGTGCTGGGATTACAGGCGTGAGCCACCGCGTCCAGCCCACTTCTTGCATTTTGAGGAAGCAGCACCCTTGGTTATGGCCCATAACAACTCAGGCTTCAACGGAAAGAAGTGGGTGTTCCCTACACAGCAGTCCAGGAAGCCAGATACTGGGGGTGTGGTGAGAACAGAACTGACCCATCCATCAGCCATTCCGGATTCTCCGTCACTCAGCCGCAGAGCATCAGCCAGGCTTCCTGAGCATCGGGAGGACTTGGCTTCAGCCTCTGTCTCAGCTGCTCGAATGTAACGTGGTTCCGTTATTCAGAGACTTCAGTCATCCTGAGCAATAAACCAGCCCATCCATTAACTTGGCCCCTAGCTTATTACGTGTGTGCACTCACTGCACTGATGAAAACAGGAAGCGGGGCCGGTGCAGTGGCTCACGCCTGTCCTCCCAGCACTTTGGAGGCTGAAGCAGAAGGACAGCTTGAGGCCGGGAGTTCAAGACTAGCCTAGGCAACATGGCAAAACCCCATCTGAAAAAAAAAAGGAAAGAAAGAAAATAGAGGAAGCACAATCATGGAATTTTTAAGGTGGCAACGTGTTTTCTTAAAAGCAGGTGAGCCTGTCAGGTCTGCTCCTGAGGGAGAGGTGGCTTGGTCAAGAGGGCGGCCCCAGGCCCTGCAGTGCAGCTGGTGATTTTCAGTGCAAAGCTCTGGAGCCTTGGATGGGGTGTGCGTCTGGGCTGTGTGCGGCAGAATGGCAAAAGTGGGGCTAAGTCTGGCCCGGCGTGGCTGGTGCGGACATCTGGGGTTGCTGCCAACCCCGGGGCAAGCGGTGGGGGGGTCCCCCGAGGTCTGTTTCTCCTCTGGACCTTAATGACCAGGCTCCCAGCCAGGAGCCAGCGGCTGGGGCAAGGGGAGTGATTTCAGCGCCCTCTGCCCCGAAGCAGGAACTGCAGGGCCAGCCGGGGGGCGCCCAGCGTGAGCTCCAGGCACATCTGGACATCTGCGCTTTGCCCAGAGTTGCTTTCTCAGAGGCTCCAGTCAGAGGAAAGTTGTGCTGGTTTTTCCTGCTGTTTCCCGTTGGTCCTCTTTGGCCTCCGTTTTTGTTCCATGTCTTCCTGTACTCCAGGTTCTTTCTTCTGAGTCATGTGGGACAATCCGGATGGGTCTCCACCTTTAACACCCGGGAGCACGCACAGCAAAATGCTCTCTGGTGGAGGGAGACTTCACTCCATCGTCCTTTCCTCCCTTTTCAACCACTGAAATCCAGGAAAAAAATCGCAGCCCCGCCCTTCAGCACTAGGGTGGTTTTGGAGGCTTCGCCTGCCACCTCCTGGCAGACGCCACTGTGGCAGCTTCGCGGCCACACAATGGCGCGGGAGCGCGGCCAACATCCCGACGATGTTTGTCTCTCGGCCAAGCAGTGTTTTTCTTGTGAAATGTTGCTCGTTTTTTATTCCCGTTTACTAGGGAAATGGTGACAGAACGAATGTCGGCCTCAAAACTGAGGATTCAAGGTAGTGATTTTCCAAAATCACTCAGCAAATAACCACCATCTGCTCCTCTGGATTCACTGAAGAAAGGACAATTTGCCTCCCTCCTGCACCCTCCCTTGTCCCTCCTAAATTATACCCATGAGTATATGAAGTGAACTTAAGGCACTGCATATAAGCCACGGACTCTAAAGCAATGGGATGTAAATTTCTTTCCCTCTTACACCCAGGATAAAACGGGCTTCGAATTACTTGTCAGTGTAGGCCGGGCGCGGCGGCTCACGCCTGTAATCCCAGCACTTTGGAAGGCTGAGGCGGGTGGATCACGAGGTCAGGAGATCAAGACCATCCTGGCCAACATGGTGAAACGCTTTCACTACTTAAAAGTACAAAAAATTAGCCGGGCGAGGTGGCGGGTGCCTGTAGTCCCAGCTACTCGGGAGGCTGAGGCAGGAGAACGGCGTGAACCTGAGGGGCAGAGCTTACAGTGAGCTGAGATCCGGCCACTGCACTCCAGCCTGGGCGACAGAGCGAGACTCCGTCTCAAAAAAAAAAAAATTACCTTCCAGTGTTTACATTGCTTTTTCTAAACAAGGACAAGGTAAATACATGGTTTATTCTTTCACTGTTATTTTGTAACAAGAGTCAGCGTGAGTATAACCCAGGGAACAAATCCCAGGAGATTGGTTTTAGGCTGGAAAGATGTGAGCTTCCTTTTCCTGACTCCTGCTTCTTGAGCACTTTCCTGAGGTGTCTGGGGAGACTGGAATGGGATGAATTTGCGTTCTCCAGGCCGCCCGTCCGCCTGTCCTCTGCTCTAGCCTTTGTGAGCAGTGTTGTGGGCAGCCACTTGCATGTGCAGCTCTGGGGAGGCCCAGACCACAGCGGGGCCCCGGAGCAGATGCTCAAATATTCAAATGTCAGCCTGGGAGGACGCTGTCCCTGCAAACACCGTCCCCTGGAACATGCCAGAGCATCCCACCCTGCCCCCCTGGCACGTGAACCATGCTTAGTCATTTGGTTCTCCCACGAGGAAGTTTTACCAGGAAGTTGGGGGAGTAGAAAAGAAGGGATGGGGGGCATGGTTTCTCCTGGGCACACCAGCGACACACTTGACCTCCCTGGAGTGAGCAGCTGAGGGGCTCCCAAAGAATCCAAACTGTTACGGGAGCCGCTGGGCAGAAGGGTGTGGAGAAGCACGTCTGGTGGTGGTCTCAACTCCAACCATGTTGTGTGTGGCCGCAAAAGCAGTGCTTAAAGTGAGTCCCATACTCCCCCCATCCACCCCGTCCCCACAGTTCCATATAGATACAGTGACCAGCATCAGCACCTGCCCTGAAGCACCTGCCCTGGCTTCATCCTGGTTTGGCCGCTGGTAGGTAAAGATGCAGCTTGCCCTGGTCCCTGGAGGGGCTGAGAGAACAGAAGGGTCCTGCCGTTGTGTTGTGGGCGTTCATCCTCAGAACCTTGGCCTCTAAACATCGGGGGGTGAGACGTAAGTCGTGCTAACACAGGGAACCAGGAAACAGTGACACTTTCATGACAAATGCAGGGTAAGGCTGCAGATTTTGAAATTCAGTTTTCTGCATAGACTTCCGTCTCTGCAAAAATCCTCAAAAAGATATCTGCAGAGGTGCCAAGGTCTGACACAGCCTGTTAAATTAAGCCATTTCTATGGATACATAAACAGTGGCTCAGTGAAGGCATGAACAATCTCAAAGACAGATCATCTGAGCCCAGAGCAGAGCTACTGGATGCCAACAGTTTAGCCCTCAGCTTTCTGGTATTCCCTTAGCCACGTCCTCGTTACCAGGCCAAACGTGACAGGTACTGTGACACACCAACCACACAAAACAACTGTTTAACGTAATCCGCTGCTCATAGTTTATTCTCCACCGACCAACAATCATCTGTGAGTGACGTGGCTATGACCTGTAACTGGTGCTTGACGATCGCAAACACCCACAAGCTGGTGGAGTGGACGCCTCCCTGCCCAGGTTGATGCTTCAGGAACTTTCTGGGCACGAAGTGCTTCCTGGTGGACAATTTTTAAAAACACACAGAGCCATGTGGGTCACCAAGAGAAAAAAGATAGAACCTTGAAATTAGTGACCCGATGGGAAGAATTTGGACCTGTTCTTTCTGAGGAAGTTCTTATTTTTCCCGTAACCGTGTGACGCATCACACCTGCCCCCTGAACATGGGGGCCATAGTCACTGACTCTGCCAGCCTCCAACCCGTGTGCTGGTGTAGGAGGAGCTGGAGACGTCCTGAAGCAGGAGTCACTTCTGCGTCCTTCTCAGTGGTGACTCCTGTCCCTGCTCAAGTGCTCCGCCCTCCCCCGCAGCTGTCGTTTCCCTTCGAAAAGCAGGATGCTTGCCGCCATGGCCGAGTTGAGGCTGTCCACACCAGGCACAACGGGGATCAGCAGCCTCTTGCCACCAGTGCTCTCTGCCAGCTGCAGGGACTCCACGCTCACGCCGTCGGTCTCCCCGCCAATCACCACAGCTGCCGGCGCCTCTGTCCAGTCCGAGTCGTAACTCTGAACCTCAACATCAGGCAGCCAATCTTGACTGGCTCCCGTTTCTACATCTTCCTCTTCTTCATACTTCTGAAACTTCAGCAACCGTTGGTTAGACACCCAGCCGTGGTCACTGGCTTTATTAGACATCTGAGCCTGGGCATAAAGGCCACAGTTGTCAGCCACATAGACCCGGGTGTCAGGGGGCAGGTAATTGGGCACGGTTTCCCACTCCAGATTATTGATAATGGGCACCTGGAAATGTGCGCCCATACCCGCCCGGAGCACTTTGGGCTCCCAGGGATCCACACAGCCTGGAAAATAAAAAGACAGGATACAATCAAGATGTTACAAATCTTCCCAGACCAGGGGACTGTGCAGTAAGTCAGATTAATTTTGGATCAGGAGATGAAGTTATTCTACGATAGCTTTCTTGAGAGCTGGGACCTTCTGCCTCTCTGACTGTGACAGCATCCAGCAAAGTGACTACAGGAGTCATTCCTGCTAGTGCTGAAAATATTTTCTCTATCCTTTCAACATCTCCCATACACACGTGCCAGACACTGCACAGAAGATGCAGAGAGAATTAAAGTCCCCAACCCCAAGGAATGCACAGTGTAGTGGGTGGTGGCCCTGGGTGAGTATCTTAAACAGATGACTACAGTATCAGTAACTGATGTAAAAGCAGCACCAACACAGTCATAGAAAACCCATGGACAAAGCAGGGCAATGAGAAAAACCATCTAAAAGACTATGACACGAAGAGAAAGGCCCAGGCAGATGACAGGGCTAGAAGAAGTGGGAGAGTGGCGCAGCCTAAGGACTGTGAGCAAGGTGAGTCTGCCAATCAGCAATGGGGCTTTGGTGGCACAGGAGGTGAGCCGGCCAATGAGCGCTGGGGCTGTGGCAGTGCAGGAGGTGAACTGGCCAATCAGTGGGTGGGGGTGTGGTGGCGCAGGAGGTGAGCCGGCCAATGAGCGCTGGGGCTGTGGCGGCACAGGAGGTGAGCTGGCCAATCAGCGGGTGGGGCTGTGGCGGCACAGGAGGTAAGCTGGCCAATCAGCGGGTGGGGCTGTGGCGGCACAGGAGGTGAGCTGGCCAATCAGTGGGTGGGGCTGCGGCGGCACAGGAGGTGAGCCGGCCAATCAGTGCTGGGGCTGGGGCGGCACAGGAGGTGAGCGGGCCAATCAGTGCTGGGGCTGTGGCGGCACAGGAGGTGAGCTGGCCAATCAGCGGGTGGGGGGTGTGGTGGCACAGGAGGTGAGCTGGCCAATCAGTGCTGGGGCTGGGGCGGCACAGGAGGTGAGCGGGCCAATCAGCGGGTGGGGCTGTGGCGGCACAGGAGGTGAGCTGGCCAATCAGTGGGTAGGGGTGTGGTGGCACAGGAGGTGAGCTGGCCAATCAGTGCTGGGGCTGTGGCGGCACAGGAGGTGAGCTGGCCAATCAGTGCTGGGGCTGGGGTGGCACAGGAGGTGAGCGGGCCAATCAGCGGTGGGGGTGGGGCGGCACAGGAGGTGAGCGGGCCAATCAGTGGGTGGGGGGTGTGGTGTCCAGTGAGCTGGCCAATCAGCGCTGGGGCTGTGGCAGCACAGGAGGTGGGAGGTGGGCTGGCCAACACGGAGGAGGCCGCCTATGGGAAGCTGAGGAGTTTGGCATTTTATCTGAAGACAGTATCATGCCATTGGGTATCTTAAGCAAAGCAGTGCCAGAATCACATCTGTGTTTCATCAAGACCCACCGGGCTTCAACGTTCAGTCTGCACTGGAGCAGGGAAAGCCCTAGAGAGGAAATGAGGCAAGAGGCCACCCCGGCAGCAGCCTCAGCCTGGCCTTTGCCAGGGCCTGCCCCTCACCACAGGCGGGCTGGAGAGCGGCCCAGGGTGGGGCCCCATAGGGACTGCATCACCTCCCACCCTCCCCCGCACAATTTGTTAGCGCAAGTCTTCTCCTGACGAGTTACTTTAAAAGTTCATTTGTCAAACCTCAGGATAGACGAACCAGGCAAACCAGATTTTAAAAGGAGAATAAGACACAGAGGATGTAACAGCGCCTGCACCCCCAACCACGGCTTTCCTTTCCCTCTCCCTGCAGGAAACCAGAGATGGGCCCACATGTGTGAGAGGAGCGGCCCAGGCTGACCCCTCTACCTGGAGGGGAGAAGGGAAAGGCGAGGCTCCTCCCGTCATCCTCATGTCCTGGATACGGGCACCACACCAAGTATTTCCTTTCTTTCCCCATTTCTTACACACCAGCCATCAGTGTCAGTGTGAAAACCACACTGCTTGGATTATTTAGATTTATTTCCAAATCCCACAATAGCTATCAGAGCACTAAATAACGGGGCGAGTAAGCGGGGTACTGGTCACGGAACCCCAGCACGTAGCTCTCACATGGCACAGAAACGTACTCTAGCAAGGCGTGATGAGAAAGAGGTGCGAGCAGCAATTCAGGCAAGTCTCAACAACGGGTGCCACTATTAGTTTACTTTTAATGGTGGCTGGAGTGTTTCTGATGAATGGTACTCTCTGTCCTCTCGCCCCCAAGGTGTAACAGACATTTCAGGCATGCCCCAGCTGTCAGGCAAGTCTGTTTAGAGCCAAGCCGATTAATCCCCATTTCTGATGATGAGAGACAGAAGTGTAACGAGGTGGATTTGTGTGTGGGGCATGTGACCCACGCTGAGGCTAAGGGAAACTAAGGGAAACGGATCACGATGACATTAGGATTCAGAGCTTCTGACCTCATTCCTAGCAGGTTTCATGATAATTTTAAAAGATAATAAACATTGGCTGGGTATGGCAGCTCACGCCTATAATCTCAGCACTTTGCGAGTCGGAGGCAGGAAGATCCCTTGAGCTTAGGAGTTTGAGATCAGCCTGGGCAGCAGAGCAAGACCCTGTCTCTACAAAAAACATAATTTTTTAAAAAGAGAATCAACATTTACTGAATTACTTGTGTGCCAGGTAAGGTTGAAGTACCTTATGTGCATCATCTCACTCAATCCTCACAATGACCAGGGAGATTGTTATTCCTCCCACTTCACCAATGAGGAAGCTGAGCTTCAGGGACTACTGCTCAGGGACCAGAGCTAGTGAAGGCAGACCAAGATCCAACCCGTGTCTGCCTGCCCAGAGCCCTAGCTCACCTAACAATGGCTGAACCTGGCTGGGCGTGGTTGCTCATGCCTGTAATTCCAGTGCTTTGGGAGACTGAGGCACGAGGACTGCTTGAGCCACAGCCAGTTCAACACCAGCCTAGGCAACATAGTGAGACTCCATTTCTTTTAAAAAAAGACCTACTAATCCACCTGTTTTTTTTTTTTTTTTTTTTTTTTTTGAGAGGGAGTTTCACTGTGTCGCCCAGGCTGGAGTGTAGTGGTGAGCTCGCTGCAGCCTCGACATCCCAGGCTCAAGCAATCCTCCCACCTCAGCCTCCCAAGTTTCTGGGACTACAGGCACACCCCACCACACCCAGCCAATTTTAATTTTTTTTTGTAGAGACGAGGTCTCACTCTGTTGCCCAGGATGGTCCTGAACTCCTGGGCTCGAGTGACCCTCCTGCCTCGGCCTCCCAAAGGGCTGGATTACAGGTGGGAGCCACCGCGCCTGGCCTTGGATGCTCTTACCTTTGGTGAGTAGCACTTTGCTGCAGCCCGCCCCAGCTGCGGATCTCAGAATTGTCCCCAGGTTCCCAGGGTCACGGAGATTGTCACAAATCAATGATAAAGGCAGTGAATGCTGAAGCTGAGTCTTTGGATATGCCATCTTAACATGGTCCGGCTTGGCAAAAATCCCTGAGGAGACAAAACAGATGCCATCTTAACATGGTCCGGCTTGGCAAAAATCCCTGAGGAGACAAAACAGATGCCATCTTAACATGGTCCGGCTTGGCAAAAATCCCTGAAGAGACAAAACAGATGCCACCTTAACATGGTCAGGTTTGGCAAAAATCCCTGAGGAGACAAAACAGATGCCATCTTAACATGGTCCGGCTTGGCAAAAATCCCTGAGGAGACAAAACAGATGCCACCTTAACATGGTCAGGTTTGGCAAAAATTCCTGAGACAGATGCCAACTTAACATGGACATGGTCCGGCTTGGCAAAAATCCCTGAGGAGACAAAACAGATGGTTTACTTGCCTGGTGTGGGCACGGGGAATAGTCTGACTTTTCATTTACTTATCAATCTTTATATGGTCTTAGTTACATAAAAATACATGACTACGGGCCAGGTGCAGTGGCTCACGCCTGTAATCCCAACACTTTGGGAGGCCAAGGCAGGTGGATCACCTGAGGTCAGGAGTTCGAGACCAGCCTGGCCAACATGGCAAAACCTTGTCTCTAATAAAAATACAAAGATTAGCCGAGCGTGGTGGCGCGTGCCTCTAGTCCCAGCTACTTGGGAGGCTGAGGGCAACACAGTGAGACTCCCTCTAAAAAAATAAAAACACCAATACATTCTGATTGGCAAAATTCAAACAACATAAAATTCTACCATTACCACTCTCCTCCCCTCAATTATACTGGAGTGCATCCTTTTAGAACTTGTTCTATGCATCTACCTATATATACGCACACCTGTCCATATATAAATGTATTTCTTTTACATTAGGTGTCATACTCTGTATTATTCTGTAACCTATTTTACGTAACAACATATCTTGAACTTAAGACGTCAGTATGTTTGACGCTACTTTTTTCCTTTAACTGCTGTAGGCTTTTTTTTTTTTTGAGACAGAGTCTCATTCTCTCACTCTGTCACCCAGGCTGGAATACAACGGTGTAATGTTGGCTCATTGCAACCTGTGCCTCCTGGAGAATTAAGCAATTCTCCTGCCTCTCAGCCTCCCAAGTAGCTGGATTACAGAGACCCGCAACCATACCCGGCTGATTTTTTGTATTTTTAATAGAGACGGGGTTTCGCCATGTTGGCCAGGCTGGTCTCAAAATCCTGACCTCAGGTGATCCGCCCGCCTCAGCCTCCCGAACTGCTGGGATGACAGGGTGAGCTACCGCACCTGGCCTGTTTTGTAGTATGAATGTACCTCAGTTCATTTTGCTCTTCCCCTATGGACTGTTAAATTATTTGAATTTTTCTCTGTTACAAATAATGCTGCAATGGGCATCCCCGTAGGACTGTCTGTCCATGTGTCTAAAAATTTCTCTAGCATAAATACCTTGAGTGAAATGGACAAATGATGTGTGTGCACTCTGAACGTTCACACGGGCTCTTTCCGTTTATTCACATCAGAAACTCATAAATATCTCCTTCTGGCCGGGCACAGTGGCTCACGCCTAAAATCCCAGCACTTTGGGAAGCTGAGGTGGGCGGATCACAAGGTCAGGAGTTCGAGACCAGCCTGAACAACATGGTGAAACCCCCGTCTCTAATAAAAATACAAAAACAAAAAACAAAACAAAACCTGTTTTCCAGCCCAAACCCTTCTCAACAGAGGATCTATCACTTGTTTCCATTTTTCCCAGTGTGACAGGAAAAACGGCATGCCATTATTTTAACTTGCCTTTTCCCTGATTACTAGAGAAGCTAAACACCTTACTGACCTATTGCGACCTTCTTCAGTGAGTTCCTGTGCTCCCTTAACTGTCTCGTTTCTATAACCTGTGCCCATCTTCCTACCAGGTAGGCTTTTACGAAACAGTTAGTAGGTTTAACTTAAATATTTAAAAAACAATTATTAGCCTGCTATACTCTGATTTATCCGACCTTTATCACACATTTTAAAATTAAAAGTACATTCCTAGGAAAAAATCTGAATTTCAAAACTTGAACGCATCAAAGTAACGACCCCTTTTCCAAATACACTGGCTTGGAAGCACTGTCTTAGGGACATACTCTGCAAAACAAAGGGGCTGTGGGTGCAGTGAACGCTTGAGTCACTTGTAAGGCCTCACGCTGGAGGTACAGAAGCCTGGGAGCTTTAGAATGGGTACAGCCACTTACCCGTGACCTCTCTGTCCTTAGTCTGATACAAAAGAGTAAAATGGAGTCTGGGACTATCTGGGAAAATGAAAACCCCAAGTGGCCTTCTTAGTGGAAAATTCTCTATTTAATCTCTATATTATAAAATTATATATACATTATATAATAATCTACATTATCTAATCTGCATTATAATAATCTCTACATTATAATAATCTCTAAAGTTTTATGGAAAGAATTTATGGGAAAAGAGAAAAACTGGAAAAAGGCTAATAACAGTATTAAAATGGCTTTAGAGCACATGAGATTTCTGTGGTATAGACGAAGGTATTCACATGGATGTATCACATATCCACAGGTTTCTTTTTGAATCACCATGTTTCCTGGTAGAGGTGATAATGATAACCTTTTAGTAAACATTTAGTAAAAGATAAATCTTTTAGTAAACATTTTTTTTTAGGCCAAGCACTACCTTAAACTCTTTATGTATCATTACCAAATATTCAAACCCTTTGTAGTCAGCTCCCAAGGGACTGTACAGATTTTTTTTGAATCTTACTAGTATTTTGTCATATATAATTGCTCCAATAAATGGGCTACTGACTGAAGTCAGGAGATGAAGTAGTACTTGTACTGAAACATGATACAATCAAAGATTTAGGATTCTTTCTAAAGACAGTGCAGGTAAAAAGCCTACCCACCACTGAAGGCAACGGAAGGGTATTAGGCGTCTGTGTGCTGTGAGAGAGCCTCCACTTCCGAGTCACAGATGGCCACAAGCCATTCAGTAGGGCAGGGGATCTTAGAAGTCCTTTACTTCTACTTGAATGTCTGTGGTGATAAGAACCCACCATACAGAGACCCTACTTACGTCACTGGATTCTGCAGAGTGTCTGTCTAAAGCCTGACAGGTGCTGCCAGTTCCTATCCATTTCTCCCTTATTCCTTGCCCTCAAATTATAAAGCCAGGAAATGATGAAAGCAGGTATAATGATGAAGTTCAAGATGGGATGGCCACTGTTAGCACACGTGCCCAAAGTGACAAGCTCAGTAAAAATGAATGACATGTTCACTGAAGCATCGAGTGTGGATTAGAGGGCTGTTTCTAGTGAGAATATGGTTACTTAGCATGAGTAATTCCAGGTACTTTAGTAATCCAAGTCCCCATCCTAGGATCTAAGAGTTCTGATTGTAGAGGCACAGATCCCTGTGACTCACTGGATTACAGAAACAAGAGATGGTCCCCAGTTCAAGGATTCAGTTTTCATATCTTAAATAAAACTCCAATGTCAAAAACGTATGAAAAACTTATCTTCTCATATTTAGACCAAAGACTTTGTAATTGCTAATAGACATTAAGTAAGATTAAGTTAGATTCAGCCAAATGAAGAAACAGACTAGAAGACAAGGTTCTCCGTTTATTGGGCTAAACAGGGCAGTATATTATGGCTTATACCTCACTTCTTAGATCTGCTTCTAGAATAAGGAATTTATTAACAGTGATCACCACATCAGCAGAGTTTTTGCAGAAATGAAGGGCTAACTCTTTTAGTAAACATTTTCTTAAGTTTTAATCTGACATAAAAAGTTGAAGACGTAATCTAAAAAATACAAGGTTTGAGGAATAGTGGTTCTTCCTAGAGATTATAAAGAGCCACAACACAAATGATAGTGAAAAACGGGTTTCAATTTCCATTGAAAATATTCTAAGATACACAGGTTTGAGAATTATGTTTTTCTTTTTTTTTTTTTTTTTTTTTTTGAGACGGAGTCTCGCTCTGTCACCCAGGCTGGAGTGTAGTGGCCGGATCTCAGCTCACTGCAAGCTCCGCCTCCCGGGTTCACGCCATTCTCCTGCCTCAGCCTCCCGAGTAGCTGGGACTACAGGCGCCTGCCACCTCGCCCGGCTAAGTTTTTTTTTTGTATTTTTAGTAGAGACGGGGTTTCACTGTGTTACCCAGGATGGTCTCGATCTCCCGACCTCGTGATCCGCCCGTCTCGGCCTCCCAAAGTGCTGGGATTACAGGCTTGAGCCACCGCGCCCGGCCGAGAATTATGTTTTTCTAATTGTAACATTTTGAATTTCATTTCAATGAAATCTGCTGTCCTAAGACAAGTATGAGAAATTAATCCTAGGTCTCCACACCTTAAGATACACTGTGTAAGGCTGGGCACAGTGGCTCATGCTTTAATGCCAGCACTTTAGGAGGCAGAGGCAGGAGGATCACCTGAGGTCAGGAGTTCGACACCAGCCTGGCCAACATGGTGAAACCCCATCTCTACTAAAAATACAAAAATTAGCCAGGCGTGGTGGTGCATGCCTGTAGTCTCAGCTACTCGGGAGGCTGAGGCAGGAGAATCCCTTGAACCTGAGAGGCGAAGGTTGCAGTGGGCCGAGATTGCGCCATTGCACTCCAGCCTGGGTGACAGAGCAAGACAAAAAAAAAAAAAAAAAAAAAAAAGATACACTGTGTAATAATCACTGACCCATTATTCCTTGTGGTGTTACGAGGTCGGACCAATCCTTGATATCCTCAAATTTCACCTTAATGAGGCTGACACCTTTCAGCTTATCGACTGGCAGCTCCTTTAGGTATTCTAGACGGCTAAAGAAGAACATTTTTGGCACAGCTCCAGCCTTGAGAGCGTCTGTAATGAGCCTGCGACCTTCCAGCAGGATCTTCCCTTGTTTTTCCCGAAACGGCCTGGACTTTACTATTGTCATTACACTGCTGTAGATGAAAATAAAAAAACAGGTAACTATCAACATCCTTGTTACTAAGACACGCTTAGTTGTAACAGAAATAAAGAGCCAAGGAGAGGGCCGGGCGCGGTGGCTCACGCCTGTCATTCCAGCACTTTGGGAGGCCGAGGCGGGCGGATCACCTGAGGTCAGGAGTTCGAGACCAGGCTGACCAACATGGTGAAACAAAAACAACAACAAAGAGCTGAGGGGAAACAGAAGCTAATTCCAAAGACACTATTCGGCCCTCTGTGCATAATACAAAAGCCAGCGGGCTGTACTGGAAGAAGTCCTCCATCCGGAGAAGGAGGTTAAGGCTCCGCTGTGAGGCGGGAAGGGAAACGAGAACATTCGACAGGCTTCAAGACCCACATCACCTCAGCCTCCTGTCCCCGGGATAAGCTTTATCGTAGCGAAGCCCAGACTCTTGCCAGGTGCTGGGAGCGTGGGATGTGGACTCCTCAAGCGGTGATTTCTCTCGTTGCTCCTGGGCACTGGCCTCAGATGCTGCCTTGCGTGGCTGCTTCCCGGGAGCGCGCTTCCGTTCCACCACCTCTCCGGAAAGAAACACCACTTTCACTGCGCTCCGCCGCAGCGCCCGGACCCAGCGCCTCGCGTCAAGGTCCCAAGCCTGCACCACCTGCAGCAGCGGCCGCACGACAAACCTCGAGCGTCTCACCAGCGCCGCCATCTTCTCTGAGACCCGGGCTGCGTCACCAAGGCGCGCCGTCGGCGGCCAGTGACGTCACGGCCCGGGGCGCCCGTCGTGGGCGGGGCGGTATCGTGCGCGTGACGGCTGCGTGCGCGGGAGTCATGGCTGCTCGCAGAGCTCTGCACTTCGTGTTCAAAGTGGGAAACCGCTTCCAGACGGCGCGTTTCTATCGGGACGTCCTGGGGATGAAGGTGCAGGCCGGGTTCGACTGGGGCTGGCGCGCGAGGCGGGAACGGGCCCCCGAGCCGGCCCTGGCGGAGGGAGGGGAAGATGGGTGTGTCGTGAACCTCAGCCGGAGGGTGCCCGACCTTGGGCCCTGCGCGGAGTTCAGCTTCGGGAGCGGCGAGTTGCCGGTGGGGATCATAGGCCTTGGAGAGGGGCCTAACGCGATTAGTCCCCGCGGTGTGCCCAGCACGTCCTTTCGTTTAAGTCACTCGTAGATGTTTATTGAGCCCCGCCCTTGTGGAGCTTACTGTCTACCGGAAAAGACGGTAAATACACAAAATGACATATAATGCTTTCCAGTTAATATTTGTCTTTTCCGGTTTGGAGCCTTTGATGTAGGTAAAACCAGCATATTCAGAGTTCTGCTTCTGTCAGGGCTGGTCGGAGTGGCTCCACTCGGGTACTCAGTCTCTGAATCTGGGCTCCAACTCGCAACCCATCCCCTTTGCAACAGCACCCACAAGCAGTCTCTCCCCGGTCCTGAGAAGCTGTTACTGCAGGACTCGGTTGGGGAACTGGGTTTGGGGGACCTCTTTCGATAAGCCGGGGAGGTAGGGAGCACACCAGTAAGGAAGACTTGAAAGGTGCAAGAGCGCGGTTTAGTGTGGAGACGGTGCGGCAGATGGGGGTCTGAATTCGTCAGATCATTTTTAAAATATCTGCTGTTTTGCCGGGCGCAGTCACGCCTGTAATCCCAGCACTTTGGGAGGCTGAGGCGGGCGGATCACGAGGTCAGGGGATTGAGACCATCCTGGCTAACACGGTGAAACCCTGTCTCTACTAAAAATACAAAACATTAGCCGGGCAAGGTGGTGGGTGCCTGTAGTCCCAGCTACTCGGGAGGCTGAGGCAGGAGAATGGCCTGAACCCGGGAGACGGAGCTTGCAGTGAGCCGAGATCGCGCCACTGCACTCCAGCCTGGGCGACAGAGCGAGACTCCGTCTGCTATTTTTAGGGTACTACATTGAGTTTTGGCAACAAAGGTTCAAATGACCCTGATGGATACTCTCCATTAGAGCTCATGGCCTGGGTTGGGATGGGAGTTGGAACTGGATTTGTACGTAGGTGATGGTAATGGAAGTCAGAATTTGATAGTGAAAAACCACAAAACTTTCGATAGCAGAAACCACAGAGCTGTCCCTTGTTAGTATTTCTTCGTTGATCAAAAGGTTGCTGTAAAGACTAAACATGTGCCGAGCGCGGTGCCTCACACCTGTAATCCCAGCACTTTGGGAGGCCGAGGCGCGCATCGCTGGAGGTCAGGAGTTGGACACCAGCGTGGCCAACATGGTGAAACCTTGTCTCTACTAAAAATACAAAAATTACCCGGGCGTGGTGGCGCACACCTGTAATCCCAGCTACTCAGGAGGCTGAGGCAGGAGAATTGCTTGTACCTGGGAGGCAGAGGTTGCAGTGAGCCGAGATCGCGCCATTGTATTCCAGCCTGGGCGACAAAAGCAAAACTCCCTCTCAAAAAAAAAAGATTAAACACCTTATTATATGTATAGTATTTAACATATAGATGATAGTACATTATGTAAGTATTAGCAACTATTATGAAAATACAAAAGGAGAGGTTTTTCCAACCTGGGTGATGAGGAAGTAATTCCTGTAGACCTTGTATTTGAGTTGACTTTTTTTTTTTTTGAGACAGAGTGTCGCTCTGCCACCCAGGCTGGAGTGTAGTGGCGCGATCTCCGCCTCCGGAGTTCATGCCATTCTCCTGCCTCAGCCTCCCCAGTAGGTGGGACCACAGGCGGCCGCCACCACTCCTGGCTCATTTTTTTTTTTTTTTCGTATTTTTAGTAGAGACGGGGTTTCACCATGTTAGCCAGGATTCGAGTTGACTTCTAAAGTTGGGATATCCACAGATAGATTAGAGGGGGAGCTACATAGTAACACTAAAGAGCCAGTGCAGTGATGTTACATGTTTGCGAAGCCACTGGTTTTATGTGCCTTTAGTTGAGGTTGCTTAGTTGAAGTTGAGGAGATGGGATATCAGGATGGACAGGTCGGCATTGCTTCTAATAGTATCTTGAATGCTATGCTAAAGAATTTGGATTTTATGCTTCAGTAAGAAGGGAGCTCACTTACGTTCTTTTTTTTTTTTTTTTTTGAGACAGAGTCTTGCTCTGTCGCCCAGGCTGGAGTGCAGTGGCTGGATCTCAGCTCACTGCAAGCTCCGCCTTCTGGGTTTATGCCATTCTCCTGCCTCAGCCTCCCGAGTAGCTGGGACTACAGGCGCCGCCACCTCGCCCGGCTAGTTTTTTGTATTTTTTAGTAGAGACGGGGTTTCACCCTGTTAGCCAGGATGGTCTCGATCTCCTGACCTCGTGATCCGCCCGTCTCGGCCTCCCAAAGTGCTGGGATTACAGGCTTGAGCCACCGCGCCCGGCCTCATTTACGTTCTTAAACAGGGCAGTGATGGGATCAGAGCTGTGTGCTTTAGATGTGTACTTTTATGGTGGTATTAAGGAAGGATATCAATAAGGATGATTTTTAATAGTCTGAGCAGAGCATTGGGCACTTGAACTGGCAGGAGCTGTGGAAATCAAAAAGGAAGACTAAAGCCAACACATCGAGAGCCTGCTGTGTGCAGGGTTCTGTGAGATGCTTTAATAACTTCCATTCCCATCACATGTTAGGAGACTGAGACTCAGATTCTAACTTGCTCAGAGTTACACAACTACTAAATGACGGAATTCCAAATCAGACTCTTTGCTTTTTTTTTTTTTGAGATTGAGTTTTGCTCTTGTCACCCAGGCTGGAGTGTAATGGTGCAGTCTCAGCTCACTGCAATCTCTGCCTCCCATGTTCAAACAATTCTTCTACCTGAGCCTCCTGAGTAGCTGGGATTACAAACACCCGCGACCACGCCTGGCTAATTTTGTATTTTTAGTAGAGACGGGGTTTCACTGTGTTGGCCAGGCTGGTCTCGAACTCCCGACCTCAGGTGATCCGCCCACCTCAGCCTTCCAAAGTGCTGGGATGACAGGCATGAGCCACAGAGCCTGTCCTTTTTTTAAATTCATTTTGAAATGGAGTTTTGTTCATCACCCAGGCTGGAGTGCAGTGGCGTGATCTCTGCTCACTGCAACCTCCGCCTCATGGGTCCAAGTGATTCTCCTGCCTCAGTCTCCTGAATAGCTGGGATCACAGGCACGTGCCACCTCGCCTGGCTAATTTTTGTATTTTCAGTTGAGATGGGGTTTCACCATGTTTGCCAGGTTGATCTTGAACTCCTGACCTCAGGCGATCCACCTGCCTTGATCTCTGAAAGTGCTGGTATTACAGATGTAAGCCACTGTGCCCGGTCCAAATCAGACTTCTTTAATGCTGAAGGCTGCACTTTTTCCCACTGCATAGCACTGCTTACCAATCTGAATAGATTTCACAACTGATTTGGTAGCCCGACCCTTGGTGTCAAACTGTTCTTGCTTCTACTGCTTCTATCCTGGGAGAAGTATAAAGCTCATTTGCTTTTGTTCTTTTACAAGTAAAGCTTACAAATGATAATATCTGTGTTTTGACATTTTAGTTTGTGCTAAAGATGCTGTGAACGGTACGAGTAACACTTCACAATTTATTCTAAATCTCACACCAGGTCTTGCGGCATGAGGAATTTGAAGAAGGCTGCAAAGCCGCCTGCAATGGGTATGATACCTTGTTTCTTAAAATCTTCTTTAGGCTCTGACTACACCTGGATAACAGAAGACAGTTTCTCAACGTGAGTATAAAGCAGTGGAATTAATTAAGGAGGCAGTAAGTTGCAGAGGCAACTCCAGGAACATGGGGAACACATACTCTGTTTCTCTGCACCCTCATAGTGAGTATAAAGCAGTGGAATTAATTCAGGAGGCAATAAATTGTGGAGGCGACTTTAGGAATGTCGGGAACACATATTCTGTTTTCTCTGCACTCTCATACAACACTTGTGGCACGTGAAGCAATTCTCCAGTTCTCTTAATACCAGCCGGCTGTCCTGTTATTTAATCCGATTGATAATCGACTGCAGTGGCCCATGGAACGAAGGGAAACGCTGGAAACACTTGCATTTACTGGTTTATTATAAAGGGTACGAGTTAGAAACGGCTGGACAGAAGAGATACACAGGGCAGGGCATGGGGAGCGGCCGCAGAGCTTCCGTGCTGTTCCGGGGCGGCGGCGCTTCCGTGCTGTTCCGGGGCGGCGGCGCTTCCGTGCTGTTCCGGGGCCGCAGAGCTTCCGTGCTGTTCCGGGGCCGCGGAGCTTCCGTGCTGTTCCGGGGCGGCGGCGCTTCCGTGCTGTTCTGGGGCAGGCTCCGATCCAGCACCTGCATGCGTTCAGCATCCCCGAAGCTCATCAAGTCTCGTTGTTCAAGCCTAATAGAGCCCAGTCTCCATCCCTTTCCTTCCCAGAGGTTGGTGGGTGGGACTGAAAGTTCCAGTCCTCTAATCATTTGTCTTTCTGGTGACCAGCCCCATCCTGAGTCTATGTAGAGGTCCCACTCTAAGTCTCCTCATTAGCATAAACTCAGGTGTGACCGAAAGGGGCTCATTGTGAATAACAAAATATGTTCCCGTCAGGAAATTCCAGAGGAACCGGGGACAGTGACCAGATATGTTGCATATTATGCCACAAATGCAAATAAATACATGCTCTGGATGAAGCAGCGGCTTCTAATGTCCTTGTTTTTTTTGAGACAGTCTTACTCCGTCACCCAGGTGAGAGTACAGGGTCATTACCCTGGCTCACTGCAAGCTCTGTCTCCCGGGTTCAAGCAGTTCTCCTCCCTCAGCCTCCCTAGTACGTGGGACTGCAGGCACGCGCCACCACACCCAGCTAATTTTTGTATTTTTAGTAGAGATGGGGTTTCACCATGTTGGCCAGGCTGCTCTTGAACTCCTGATCTCAGGTGATCCTCCTGCCTCGGCCTCCCAAAGTGCTGGGATTACAGGCCTGAGCCACTGCGCCTGGCCATCTCTTAATCTTAGTACCATGACAAGTTGGAACAGTCCAAGTCCATACTTGTTGATTGATAGTCAAGGAAATAACAGGTCAGTTGGAGAACTGTCTTTAGGATTCTGTTCCTTGCTTTACAGAAAAGGTGAACAAATCTTTCCTTCAAGTAGATGCTGAATAGATAGTCTTAGGAGCTTGTTGTAGGGTCCCATGAGTACTGCCCACAGCTGCTTTCTGCACCATCTGAAGTCATCTCATCCTTAAGAGAACTTTTAGGACCAGACAGGACTGCTCATTTCTCTGTGCCCAGTAGTTCTCTGGGGGTGGCCTGAGGCCGATTTGTCTGTGGTCACTTAGTTCATTTACTTTTATTTTCTAGGCCTTATGATGGGAAATGGAGTAAAACAATGGTGGGATTTGGGCCTGAGGACGATCATTTTGTTGCAGAACTGACTTACAATTACGGCATCGGAGACTACAAGCTTGGCAATGACTTTATGGTAAATACTGTTTTTTTCTAGTGGATTTTTGGCTGGGGGTAGGTAGCTGGTTGTAAATTTGAGTAGGGTGTTGAGGGTGCGTGTGAGTGAAGAGATAACATTTGAGCAGAGGCTCAAAAGAGGTCAGGGAGTTAGCCATGTGGGTATCCGGGGGACGAGCATTCCAGGCAGCGAATAGCCTGTGCAAGAGCCCTCAGGTAACATCTGGAGTGTTCAAGGAGGTGTAAGGAAGCCAGTGTGGCTGGAACAGAGAATGAGAGGGGACGTGGTAAGAATGGGGTCAGCAGTGCCATGGGGTGAGACTGTAGGGGGCCTCCTAGACCATAAGTCATCCGAGAGAAATGAGCCATTGGAGGACTTTGAGCAAAGGGAAAACAAGGCTGGCTGCTCTCTGGGGGTAGACTGTAGGATGCGTTTTGGAAAGTTTACTTTGGCTGCAGGGTGGATAATGGATTTACAAGACTGGAGGCAGAGAGGCCATTATAATAATCGAAGCTAGAAACAAGGCTGGTCTTATCAGAAAGCATAGGTGTCCATTTCTAGACACTTTGATTAAATGTAAGGAAACCTTGAGAGTTTGCTTATTTTTGTTTTGTTTGTTTGTTTGTTAAAAAAGCAAGAACAGTTCACCTTAAATAGGTAGCTAGCTGGCCAGACCCAGGTAGCATCAAGATTTCTCTGGCTAGATCTTTAGAATTAGAAGAGGTTATCTTTGGTGTTAAATGAATCGACTTCACTGGCATTTCAATTTCTGTCCTATTATTCATGAAGATCTGAATGTTTGTGGGATAAAACATTGAAAACCTGTTTTTAAATCGCTAGAATAAAATGTTGGATGCCAGTTAATCTTAGGTGATTTTACCTAAAGGCAGTAGGCAGTAGGGGTTGGGCTCATTGTCTTGTTCTGTAAAATATCTGTTGTGATCATGTACTTGGATGTACTGTGGTTTGTTTTAGGGAATGACGCTCGCTTCTAGCCAGGCTGTCAGCAACGCCAGGAAGCTGGAGTGGCCCCTGACGGAAGTCGCAGAAGGTGTTTTTGAAACCGAGGCCCCAGGAGGATATAAGTTCTATTTGCAGAATCGCAGTCTGCCTCAGTCAGGTAATTATACCAGAACCAGAAAAAGCCTCTGTCTAAAGGCATCTTTGAGGAAAGGAGAGCGAGGGCTGCCTGTCTTTTTTCTGTGTTCACGTGACGTGTCTTCCCCAACCAATGCTTTTACCTGTTACCGGAGAAATTATATTCTCATATCAGAACTTTAATACATAGCAATAGGGGATCTAGACTGGTTCTGTTCTACTGGTAATTTATTGATTTGTGAGTCTTTCATCTGTAAATAACAGAAAACCCAACTACATTGAACAGTTATGGAATGTTTTAGCTCACAGAGCAGGCGTTCTATAGCTGGGGAAGATTTCAAGGTTAGATGATTCGCCAGCTCGCCACATTTTTCTCTTTCTACGTTCTGTTGTTCTCTGCAGGTGCCTCTCCTAGAGCTGGTCCCCTCAAGGTTGCAGGAGGGCTGCCAGGAGCAGGCAGGGCCACATGCTCCCACATGCCTATCTGGTAGGAGAGGAGATGCTGACTTCTTTTTGCTTTTTTTTTTTTTTTTTTGAGACTCTGTCGCTCTGGCTGGAGTGCAGTGGCATGATCTCTGCTCACTGCAACCTCTGCCCTCTGGGTTCAAGCAATTCTCCTTCCTCAGCCTCCCAAGTAGCTGGGATTACAGGCGCCTGCCACTACGCCCAGCTTTTTTTTTTTTTTTTTTTTTTGTATTTTTATTACTTTTTAAAAATTATTTTTTTTTTGAGACAGAATCTTGCTCTGTCGCCCAGTGCCCAGGCTGGGGTGCAGTGGCACAATCTCGGCTCACTGCAACCTCTACCTCCCAGGTTCAAGCGATTCTACTGCCTTAGCCTTTCCAGTAGCTGAGATTACAGGCAAACGCCACCACGCCCAGCTAATTTTTGTATTTTTAGTAGAGACAAGGTTTCACCATGTTGACCAGGCTGGTCTCGAACTTCTGACCTCACTTGATCCGTCTGCCTCAGCTTCCCAAAATGTTGGGGTGACAGGCGTGAGCCACCATGCCCGGCCCTTTTTGCTTTCTTCTTTTTTTTTTTTTTTTTGAGATGGAGTCTTGCTCTGTCACGCGGGCTGGAGTGCAGTGGCGCAATCTCGGCTCACTGCAACCTCCGCCTCCCAGGTTCAAGTGATTCTCCTGCCTCAGCCTCCCGAGTAGCTGGTACTACAGGCGCTCACCACCACGCCCGGCTAATTTTTTGTATTTTTAGTAGAGACGGGGTTTCACCGTGTTGGCCAGGATACTCTCAATCTCCTGACCTCGTGATCCACCCGCCTTGGCCTCCCAAAGTGCTGGGATTACAGGCGTGAGCCACCACGCCTGGCTTGCTTTCTTTTTAAGAGCAGAAGAAAAACTTTCCTAGAATCTTCCAGCAAACTTCCTGGTCAGATCTGATATACTGTGCCTGCTCCGAAACCAATCACTGGCAAGAGAAATAGGATCATCCCCAAACCATTTAGCCTCTGGAGCCGAGGTCCCAAACTTTAGGGTCGGTACTCGGCGAGGGATGGCGTGGAAGTGAGGAGCCCCCTCGCTGACTGCCACACAGAACAAGAAGGAAACTTTGCAGGGTTTGTTTTGTTGGCTGCAGAGACAGCCTCATCAGTGTTTCATTTTGTATTTAATGCCTGCAAATTCACCTACCTGCCCTGCCAAAACAAAAGCAAAAACGGGGAAAATGCTGGCGAATGGCAAAGGCACTTGTGCCCACTGTCTCACTTGGTGAACGTATGACCGCAAGTGGGCCTTAGAAAGGAGTCCTGGAAATTCTTTTTCCACTGGTCGGCCTCCTGTCCCCGGTGCCCCCCTGCTGAGTCTGCGTAGGATGTTGAATGCTCCTTGTTTATCATCTGGTGCTCAGCAAAAGAAAGATCAGTCCGTTCAGTGTGGGAGGCTAGACTTGGCTGCGTGGGACTCGTGGAGAGATGGTGTTTCTCTACTTCACTGGTGATTTAAAGGGTGTTTATGGTGTTTTTTTGTTGATAGGTGATTGATCCTTTGCTGACTTTAAAACTTAACTCTTGCAACTAGCTCCACCATCCATTTTTTTTCTCCAGCCTTAGTGATATGTCAGTACTTAAAATAATAGAGAGCTCCACGGTGCTAAGATGCTTTTGTCCTTTGGAATGGAAATCCCTTTGGGCGTTTCTGGTTGGTTGTGGTCAGACCTTCTGTCTGGCTGGCATTCATCTTTCCTCTGAATTACTTCTGTGCAGCTTCATCCACTTGTTAACTTCCTGTCCTGCGTCCCTTCAGGCTCCAAGTCAACTGGGATTTGTTGATTTTGAAGTAAATGGAAAGGAGAAAAATGGAGCCTGCCAGGCGGAGGCACTTGTGAGAAACAGCGTCTTAGTCACAGTATTGCTGTTCTAACAAACAGGACTAAGGAGGTGAAAAACGAAAGAAAAATGTAATGAATGTATCATAGTCAGATGGAGACATGGAACAGCTCTTTAGAAAGTCACTTTAAATGTGAAAAGTTTCCAATAACAGTAGGTGTTTCAATATGACTTATTCTTTTTACAAAATAATCAAGTTTCTTTCTTCGACAAGCAGATAAGCCGAAAAAAACACACACACCCATATATCCAGAGAGAACCACTGCTGACGTTTTAGAGTATATCTTTCTAATCTTTCGTCAAAAATACATATATATAATTAAGTGTATACATTTCTTCATATCCTTTTATAGGAATTCCATTGTATTATTACATTGTAGGAAGATAAACAATTCTCTGTTGTTGGATATTTATGTCGTTCCTAGTGTTTTGTCGTTCTAAGCAATACTGATGAATGTCTTGGTGGTAAAAGCCCGTCATACATCCACAATTACCTTTGAGTGGCTGAAAATTGACTTGTTCTTTCAAAAGCAATGAACATTTTTTAAAGCTTTTGGTACAGTCTGACAAATTATTGCCCAGAAATGTACTAATTTACACTTTACTAGTATTGTAAGATTGTGATTTTCCCCTCTACACTAATAGAGTTAACACTGCCAACTTTTAACATTATTTGCACATTAGATAACAAAAGATTTTATGTGAATTCTAATGTCTTTGTTTTTTAGGGGGGTCAGGTTGAATATTTTTTCATATGTTAATTGAGCATTCTAATTCCTTCTTCTGTGGATTATTGCTTTGTGCCTTTTGCCTATTTTTCTAGCATGTTCATTCTTTTCCTATTACTATTTACAGGTGATTTACATATTAAGGACTTTTTGTCCAATCTATTGCAGTTTTTCCCCCTACTGTGTTGTGTACTCTGGTTTTGATTGTAATTCCTTTTTTTGTTTGTTGTCTAGTTTTCCATTTTGTGTAATTTGCGTAGCAGAATTTTTTTCATCATAGTTTTTCTATCTTTGGTGTCAGGTTTAAAGAAAAATCTTCCTCTACTCAAAATTGTATAAATAATCATCTATATCTAGTATTTTCATGATTTCGTTTTTTAAACTTATTTTTTTAACCCATCAGGAATGTATTTTGTCATTTATTTCAAAGATTGTAAGTTTTTCTTACCAAATGACTAGCCAGTCTTCTTAGTGCCATCCATTGAATAATTAGGCTTTTCATAGTGTCTTTTTTTTTGTTTTTGGAGACAGGATCTCACTCTGTCGCCCAGGCTGGAGTGCAGTAGTGCAGTCTTGGCTCACTGCAGCCTCGACCTCCTGGGCTCAAGCGATCCTCCTGCTTTAGCCTTTCAAGTGGCTGGGAATACAGACATGAGCCACCAAGCCTAATTTTTTTTTTTTTTTTTTTTTTTTTTGAGACAGAACTTTGCTCTTGTCTCCCAGACTAGAGTGCAGTGGTGCCATCTCGGCTCCCTGCAACCTCTGCCTTCCAGGTTCAAGCGATTCTCCTGTCTCAGCCTCCCAAGCAGGTGGGATTACAGGCATGCGCCACTACACCCAGCTAATTTTTTTTTGTATTTTCAGTAGAGACAGGGTTTCGCCATGTTGGCCAGGCTGGTGTCGAACTCCTGACCTCAGGGGATCCACCTGCCTTGGCCTCCCAAAGTGCTGGGATTACAGGCGTGAGCTGAGCCACTGCGCCCAGCCAATTTTTAAAAATTTTTCGTCCAGGTGAGGTCTCACTGTGTTGCCTGGGCTGGTCTTGAATTCCTAGGCTCGTGCAGTCCTCCTGCCTCAGTCTTCCAAAGTGCTGGGATTACAGGCATGGGCCACCGCACCTGACTTCATACTGGCTTAAAATCCCTTTCTTAACATAAACTGAATTTGTATGTATTCATGAGCATGTTTTGGTCTTTCTGTTTTATTCCATTAAATTGATCTGTCTGTTCCTGCTTTATCACCCAACAGATCCTGTATTAAAAGTAACTCTAGCAGTGTCTGATCTTCACAAGTCCTTGAACTACTGGTGTGATCTACTGGGAATGAAAATTTATGAAAAAGATGAAGAAAAGCAAAGGGCTTTGCTGGGCTATGCTGATAACCAGGTGAGCAATCTTGGAGAAGAATAACTAACCTGTTACTTTGAATTTGGCTTATAAATGAAGCTTATAAATGGCTTATAACCTATATGAATGAGGTTAACATGAAGGTTGTTCCCATAGTTTCTTCACAGTGATTCAATATTTAGATAGATAAGCAGAAAATGAAAATAAGTGATAACCTCACCACCCAGATATTACCTTGTTTATATTTGGGGATATATCTCTTCAGAAGTGGAATTGCTTAATCAAAGAGATTGAATGGATTTTTTTTTTTTTTTTTTTTTTGAGATGGAGTCTCGCTCTGTCGCCCGGCGCGATCTCGGCTCACTGCAAGCTCCGCCTCCCGGGTTCACGCCATTCTCCTGCCTCAGCCTCCCGAGTAGCTGGGACTACAGGCGCCCGCCACCTCGCCCGGCTAGTTTTTTGTATTTTTAGTAGAGGTGGGGTTTCACCGTGTTAGCCAGGATGGTCTCGATCTCCTGACCTCGTGATCCGCCCTCCTCAGCCTCCCAAAGTGCTGGGATTACAGGTGTGAGCCACCGCACCCGGCCCTTTGAATGGATTTAATACAAGATCTTTTTCATCTTCTTTTGCTAATAACCCAGCATTTGAGCACGATGTAGTTCTTGCCCTTTGACCCTGCAATTCTACTCCTAGGAATTATTTACAGATGTACTCAGCACACAGAGGCACACAGAAGTGTGTGCAAGGTTGTCTGTTGCATAATTGTTTGTAATCACAACACGTAAGAATTTCAGTGTCCTATAGATTAGAGACATACTTCAGTAATTTATGGTTCATTCGTGGAATGGATTACTACGTAGCTAGCAAAGAGATTGAGGCAAATCTTTATGTATCGATATGGTGACATTAAGTGGAGAAAAACAAGGAACAGAATAATTTGTAAATTATGCTACCATTTGTGTAAAAAAAAGATAGGTGCGTGCACATGCAGTGCTTCTAGAAGAATACACAGGAAACTGCTTACTAGTTGTCTCCGGGGTGAGAGTAGGCTAGAGCCTTAGTTATTACTTTATTCCTTTTGTATATACTGTTTGAATTTTTCTACCACGTACATGTAATGTAGAACCTGTTCCAAAAAATAACCCCCTTTCCTATTTCAGTGTAAGCTGGAGCTCCAGGGCGTCAAGGGTGCGGTGGAGCACGCAGCAGCTTTTGGAAGAATTGCCTTCTCTTGCCCCCAGAAAGAGGTAATGCTTGATACCAGATTGTTTGAGCTCTGCGACTAGCTCGTTCAGCCCAGCTAAGAACCTTGGCCTTCCCTTCTCGAGGTCCTTTTGACTGTGGCTTTAGTATCAAGGTCAGCAGTTGTTTGAAGAGCAGCTGAGATAGTAAATTCAAACACACGGCGCCTTGGTTCTTTCTGGTGTCTGATACTCCTCTAGGGCTGACGAGGGTCGTGTCCTGAGTAGTGTGTGACCCCTGGCTCACGTTGCCCCTTTGTTTTCCTCAAGTTGCCAGACTTAGAAGACTTGATGAAAAGGGAGAACCAGAAGATTCTGACTCCCCTGGTGAGCCTGGACACCCCAGGGAAAGCAACAGTACAGGTGGTCATTCTGGCCGACCCTGTAAGTATTCCTCAGGCAGGGGGCAGGCTGGACCAGGGGTTTCTTCAAGGATGTCTTTGGCAGGTGTCTTTTCTCTTTATTGGTGTAGGACGGACATGAAATTTGCTTTGTTGGGGATGAAGCATTTCGAGAACTTTCTAAGGTGGATCCAGAGGGAAGCAAATTGTTGGATGATGTGAGTGTCATTTCCACATTTGTGTCACCATGGGCCTGAGGGGGGTGGCATTAAGTGTGTGTGGGAGGGCCTACGCAACAGGGTCCAGGTTCTTACTGTCAGAACCATGTCCTTTCGCTGTTGGGTTGACCTGAGCCAAGGACTGATGTCTTCACTGCCACCTGTGGAGACCGCTCGTCTAGACTCGGCATTTGTGCCTTGCCACAACCTCAGGCTGCCCTGGAAGCAGTGCTGCTGGATCCGTCCTTATTCTGCTCTCTGCATGGAGATGCCTCCATCCCATCCCCCTCAGCTCTGCAGCTCCTTTGATCATCTCTTCTCCATTCTGCAGCATCCGTCTCTTTTTTCTAGTGAGTTATTCTCGCCAGCATGCAAACAGGCGCTGAAAGCTCCCATCCTTTAAAAACCTTTTACTGACCCAATATCTCCTCTCCAGATTCTTCTGAAAACCTGAGTGCGCACTGTTTCCCTTTTCTACGTCCTCTCCAGATTTCTTCTTCTGAAACTCTGAGTGCGCACTGTTTCTCTTTCTCGCCTCCCGTTTTCACTTCAGTCTGTTGTGCACTGGCTCTCGTTACTTGGTGAAGTGCTTTTGTTTCTTGCCAAATATAGCAACTACTTTTAGATTCTCATCAAACTCAGTAATTCAGAAGCATTCCAAGTAGTTTTCGGATCCTGGCTCCTAGCACATACCTGGCGTGTACTAGACGTTCTGCAAATACTTTGTTGAATGATTAAAGGAACAGATCTGTCTTTCTTGGTTCGGTCATATAACTATGTGACTGACCTTAAACAGTTTACTTAAATTCTTTGAACTTTAGTCTTCTCATCCAAAAATTTCAGAAAATAAGAGTGTCTATCTCATCAGCTTGTTATAGTTTATAGAGCTTGGCAAATTACATAATAGTAGATGCACAATTAACGTTAAAGCAGGAAATGTATAGAAAATAGTCTTTATACATTTTATTCTGAAGGAAGATAGAATCTCAGTCATCCTCTCAGCTGACAAATTTGCCAGACTCTTTCTCCTCGCTCTTTATTTAATTTAATTAATTAAGTTTTTTGAGATGGAGTCTAGCTCTGTCACCCAGGCTGGAATGCAATGGCGCAGTCTCAGCTCACTGCAACCTCCACCTCCCAGCGTCAAGCGAGTCTCCTGCCTCGGCCTCCCGAGGAGCTGGAACTACAGGCGCCCGCCATCATGCTGGCTAATTTTTGTATTAGTAGAGACAGGGTTTTGCCAGGTTGGCCAGGCTGGTCTCAAACTCGTAGCCTCAAGTGATCCACCCACCTCAGCCTCCTAAAGTGCTGGGATTACAGGTGTGAGACACTGCGCCTAGCCCATTTTATTTTGTTTTTTGAGATGGATTCTTGCTCTGTCACCTAGACTGGAGTGCAGTGGTGCGATCTTGGCTCACTGCAACCTCCACCTCCGGGGATCAAGCGATTCTCCTGTCTCAGCCTCCCGAGTAGCTGGGATTACAGGCACATGCCACCACACCTGGCTAATTTTTCTATTTTTAGTAGAGACGAGGCTTCAACGTGTTGGCCGGGATGGTCTCGAACTCCTAACCTCAGGCGATCCGCCTGCCTTGGCCTCCCAAAGTGCTGGGATTACAGGCGTGAGCCACCGCACCTGGGCCCATTTTATTTTTTTAAAACGGGGTCTCTGTCACCCAGGCTGTAGTGCGGTGGCACGATCTCAGCTCACTGCAGCCTCCGCCTCCTACGCTCAAGTGATCCTCCCACCTCAGCCTCCCGAGTAGCTGGAACCACAGGCGTGTGCCACCACGCTTAGCTAATTTTTGTATTTTTTGTAGAGATGGGGTTTCACCATGTTGCCCAGGCTGGTTTCGAACTTCTTGGGCTCAATCGATTGATCCATCTTGGCCTCCCAAAGTGCTGGGATTACAGATGTGAGCCACCGCGCCCAGCCTCTGCTCACTCTTCCATAGCACTGATGAACTCCTGCTCCCTGGCGATCCTGACATTTTCTTTTTCTTTTTTTTTGAGACGGAGTCTTGCTCTGTCGCCCAGGGTGGAGTGCAGTGACGCGATCTCAGCTAACTGCAACCTCTGCCTCCCAGATTCAAGCAATTCTCCTGCCTCAGCCTCCTGAGTAACTGGTAGCTGGGACTACAGGCACGCACCACCACGCCTGGTTAATTTTTGTATTTTTAGTAGAGATGGGGTTTCACAATGTTGGTCAGGCTGGTCTTGAACTCCTGACCTCAGGTGATCCGCCCGCCTCGGCCTCCCAAAGGACTGGGATTACAGGCGTGAGCCACTGCACCCAGCCATCCTGCCGTTTTCATCTCCCTGACAGTTTCTCCTCAGACATGGGCACCTCTTTCTGTGTCTCATCCCAAAGTGTTTTTTACCCGTAGCCCTGCTGTGCCATTTTTCCCACTCTGCATTCTTCCTCTACTCTGGTGAGGGCTTACCTGCGACTCTGCTTACCCCTGCTCTGAACTTAACCGTCATCCTTGCTCCAGCTTCCTCACTTCTTGTTTTTAACTCCTTCCTGAGCTCAGACAAGTGGTGGTTGTTGATGAGGCATAATTTAGGTAGAATTTCAATGTGTTTTGACAGTTGTGTTTACTCATACAACCATTACTCAAAATACATACCATTTTCCCAAGAAGTTCCCTCATGCCCACTTCCAGTGAGTTGGCACCCTCATCTCCCAGATCAGCCGCTATTCTGACTTCTGTCACTGTAGGTGAGCTCGTTCTTGGACTTCATACAAATGGGATCATTCAGTATTCTCTTGTGCCTGGCTTCTTTTGCTCAACGTGGTTTTGAGATTCTGCCGTGTAACTGCATATCACAGCTTGGTGCCGTTTTTTGTGGGTTTTTTTTTTTTTTTTTTTTTTTTATTGCTGATGGATACTCAATTTTATGAATATAACAATTTGCTCATTCATTCTTCCAGTGGTGGACATTCGGTTTATTTCTAGATTTTTTATCTAAGGAAGACTGCCATGAACATTCTTGTGTAAATCTTGTTGTAGATAGATAAATGTTTCATTTCTCTTGAGTAAATATCTGGGAGTAGAATTGCTTTTACCTTATAAGAAAGTGTCAGACAGTCATTGAAAGTAATAGAACCATCGTTTGTCTGATAGGTCCAGTTGTTCTTCATTCTCACCAACACTTATTTTGCTTTTTGTGGTTTTTTTTTTACCTGTTCTAGCACATGTGAAATGGTTTAATTGGTGCAATCAAGTGATCCTTCCGCCTCAGCCACCCACATAGCTAGGGCTGCAGGTGCACCACTATGCCCAGCTAATGTTTTCTATGTTTGTAGAGACAGATTCTTGCTGTGTTGCCCAGGCTGGACTCCAGTGATCCTTCCAGCTCAGCCCCACAAAGGTTTAATTTTTATTTCCCTGATGACTGCAGGGATATTTCAATGATGTTGAGCAGCTTTTCATGTGCTTATTAGCCATTTACTTCTTTTTGTGAATTTTATGTTCAAGTCTTTTGTCCATTTTTAAATAACTTTTAATATTTCACGATGAAAAGTTCCAAATATGCAGAACCGAAGAGAGTACAACAGATCCTTATGTGACTCTTACCTCGATGAAGAAGAGTCATTCCTTTGAAAAATTCCAAATATGCACAACCGAAGAGAGTGTGGCCGACCCTTACGTGACTCTTACCTCCGCTCTGTACCGTAGTTTCTCATCGTTCCTTTATCACTTGCAAATGCAAGTATTTTTCCCAGCCATTAATTGAGTTTTTGAAGACCAGGAATTTTTTGTTTTGGTGAAGTCCAGCTTATGAACTTTTTTTCTTATGTGTAGTACTTTTTCTGTCCAGACCAACGTTACATCCCGAGAAGCTCTTCACTTAGGAAACCCACCATGTATCAAACTCAGCGTGTCTATAACTCATCTTACCTCAAATCCATTCCTCAAATCCATTCCTCTTCCAGTAATATTAAATAAAGGCTACTTGGGAGTGTAGATTCTGGAAACCTCAATCTATGTTCCTGGGTTGCCGTCTTCAAGGTTGGCCCAGATAAACTCTCTATTTATAGTAAAAATATATAAATAAATAAAAATAAAAAGAAATAAATGCTACTATATCAATACATTCTTAAGTGCCTTGTTTTTATTTATTTATTTATTTTGAGACGGAGTCTCACCTGTTGCCCAGGCTAGAGTGCAGTGGCGTGATCTCAGCTCACTGCAGCCTCCGCCTCCCGGGTTCAGGTGATTCTCCTGCCTCAGGAGAGTAGCTGGGATTCCCAAGTAGCTGGGATTACAGGCGTGCGCCACCATGTCCAGCTAGTTTTTGTATTTTTAGTAGAGAGAGCGTTTCACCATGTTGGCCAAGCTGGTCTCGAACTCTTGACCTCAGGTGATCTGCCCGCCTGCCTCCCAAAGTGCTGGGATTACACCCAGCCTTAAGTGCTTTATATACATTCTCTGATTCATACCATAACCTGCAAGGTTGATAGCATCAGCCTTTGCAAATGAGGAAACCGAGACTAAACATGATTAAGTCATTGGCCCTCACCCTTGAATACCATACACCAAGTGGCAGGTAAGGGCTTGGATGGTGATGAAGTCATTCCCCCTCACCCCTGAGGACCACACACTGAGTGGGAGCAGGCAGGGCCTGGACGGATGCCTTTCAGGCTTTACCGTCAGTCCTTTTTCTTCCTCTCTGCCCTGCTCCCTCCCTGGACAGGACAGCGTATCTGTGATCCTGCTCATTCCCACTGGAATCCTCGGAGCCGGTTTTGGTGTTATTTTGTTATGTTTTGTTTTTTAACATTTAATAGACGTTTTAGATTTACAGACAGTCACTTTTGAACATTATTTCTCCTCATCCTTAAATTACTTTAGCTGTTAGTCACCAAGAGCTGTGAGTTCTACCTCTGAAATTTCTTCTGCCTTTCAGCTCTCCCTTTGAAAGGCCTTATTGTCACCTTACGGTCTGTCCCAAAGCAAACATCCAGTCGTTTTTAAAACTGTTTGATCTGATAGCTCTCTCTTGCCTCTGAGATAAATTTCAGACTCTGTGACAGAGCGTGTGACATACTTGGACATTCCCTACCCTCTGACCTTCTGTCCTGCCTCCCTCCCTAAGTCCCCTGACCCATCCCCATTCCAGTCCCACTGAACTGTTGCATTAGCTAAGATACATCTTCTTGCATCCAACCCAAAGGGCTTTTCCCCCCCTCCTCTTTTAATTGTCCTTCAACACTTAAAAGCTTTCTTAGGTTCGGCCAGGTGTGGTGACTCACGCCTGCAATCCCAGCACTTTGGGGGACCAAGGCGGGTGGCTCACCTGAGGTCAGGGGTCCCAGACCAGCCTGACCAACATGGTGAAATCCTGTCTCTACTAAATACAAAAAATTAGCCGGGCATGGTGGCGTATGCCTGTAATCCCAGCTACTTGGGAGGCTGAGGCAGGAGAATCGCTTGAACCCAGAAGGCGGAGGTTGCAGTGAGCCAAGATTGCACCATTGCACTCCAGCCTGGGTGATAAGACCGAAACTCCGTCTCAAAAAAAAAAAAAAAAAAAGCTTTCTTAGGTTCTCCAAATCATTTAGTTGTTCTTTCCTCCCACTTTTTATGGCTCCTAAAAGACAGAAACGTGCATATTTGTGAGCTGTGGTTTTTTAAAGCGTATCTTTGATTTTTAAATACTTAACTTTCATTAAGATAATAAATCAGATAGTACTAAGATATTTTAGAAATGAAACGGTCCATCTCTGAGTTACACTTCCTAGGACAGCCACTTTCACCTTCACTGTTTCTAAATAATAAATATATTTGTTTCTTCATTTTCAATTGCCCACTCATCTTGTGACTTCCTGCTGAGGTAGATATTATAGCAGATGCTTCAGGACACACACATGCGTACACACACTCTGTCATGCAAAATGCTTGTTTCCATATCTGAGTTCTCAGCTGTTCTGTACACTCCTCGAAGCTTCCAGCTGTCTCTGCTGACACCCCTGAACCCAGCATGGTACCTAGCTCTTTTTGACTAAGTAAATGATTGTTTGTTCTTGCTAAACAACTAAAGGGATGCTTGTGGAACCAAAAATTGTTAAGGCTTTCTACTTACTTACGTATTTTTATTTGTGTCTTTATGTATATATATGAGACAGGGTCTCACTCTGTTACCCAGGCTGAACTCGAATTTCTGAACTCAAGTGATCCTCTGGCCTCAGCCTCCAAGTGGCTATGACTATAGGTGTGACCACGGGGCACGGCTCAAGGCTTCATTTTTAATTAAGATGCCCAAACTAAACAGAACCAACATCAGAAGAGTAGGCTGGGAGGAGACTTATGAAAAAGGAATCATTCCACGCTTCATCACTAAAACATCACATAGAGTTTCATGTTTGACCTCACTATCAGACTGAGTTTCGTGATACTAAAGATTCCTGAGTATCTGCCCAGATGCTGTGAGTGGAGAGGCAGCACTTTCTCTTTTACCAGAGATCCTACTGCCTGGCATGCGGGTCCCTGGTCTAGTTGGCCCTCCAGCCACACTTCCTAGCTACAGGCTTTGCCCTTGACTTGGCAGAGTGAGGGTCCACAGTGGCTCATTACTCACCAGTATCTCTTGCCTCACTGAACATAATACTCTGTACTGGATTAATACTCTTTAAATGTTAACAAAAAATTTTATTTCTCTTTTCTTTTTTTTGGAGCGGGGGGTTGGGTCCTTTTTTTTAATGTTAATTTTTTTACTGTGGTCAGTACAGTGTGGTATAAAGTGGGCTATATCTTTTGTTTTTCAGACTTGGAGTCAATGTTTATTCTCTTTCTATTTTACAGGCAATGGCAGCAGATAAAAGTGACGAGTGGTTTGCTAAACACAATAAACCCAAAGCTTCAGGTTAATGGAAGACGTGATGCAGAGCAAGCCTCTGTGATTCCTGCCCAGCACCTGTGAGGCCTGACGTGTCAGTTCCTGATAAATGTTCTTCTGATTTGTTTCCCCTAGAGGCAAGGAGGCTTGGGTAGTGCAGATCTGTGTATTTCAACCTTTGAAAGCTCTGATGTATTTTAGAAATGAAATCCAATCATGAGTGCAGGTAGAGAACGCCTGCTATAATCTACAGTATTGCTGGGACTGCACATTCTGTATATAACTGTGTTCGATTAGTGACAGATGATTGTCCAGACTAGGACAGCAGCATGAAACATTTGGTTGGGATTGCAGATGGTTAGGGTTAACTCTGAATCATGCGGATTTTATGAGAGCAGGTGTTCAAGTCAGTCCAAATTAATGGCTTGTCATGGTGCCATTCCCAGCACCTGATAATGATAGGCTGTTCTGCTATCTCTGGCAGGTTTTGACATTTTAAATTTTTTTTTTTTTTTTTTTTTTTTTTTTTTGAGACGGAGTCTCGCTCTGTCACCCAGGGTGGAGTGCAGTGGCCGGATCTCAGCTCACTGCAAGCTCCGCCTCCCGGGTTCACGCCATTCTCCTGCCTCAGCCTCCCGAGTAGCTGGGACTACAGGCGCCCGCCATCTCGCCCGGCTAGTTTTTTGTATTTTTTAGTAGAGACGGGGTTTCACCGTGTTAACCAGGATGGTCTCGATCTCCCGACCTCGTGATCCGCCCGTCTCGGCCTCCCAAAGTGCTGGGATTACAGGCTTGAGCCACCGCGCCCGGCCAGACATTTTAAATTTTTTAAAGAAATTTTATTCCTTGGGCCAAAAGGTTTGGTTAACATCCCCATCTTTCTTGCTTTTACATTTTGAGCATCCAGAGGAAACAGAAAGGAATGAGTGTGTGACGTTGCTGCACACCTGGCTCTGTGCAAGTTTCTTTCTGTATATATATATTTTGTTTTGTTTTATTTTTTTCTGTGTATATTTTTAATCCCCACAGAACATCATGTGAGATTTCTTTAAAATAGATTAAACAATTTCATCACCCTGAAAAAAAGGTTTTAAAAATGTTTTCTTGTAGTTTTGTTTGGTTCTATGTAACATAGGTTTTAATCACTCGAAATGGAATTATATTGGGTATTCATCGAATAATTAAATTTTTTTTTTTTAAAGTAAGCTTCCAAAATCAAGCTGTTACACCAGTCCCTAAGTCTCATCATTTAAAGTGGCGGCCAGGTTCGGATTTTTAAAAATAAACTTAGGAGATTGGAAGGAATTGACTCAGAGGATCCTGGTTCCAAAAGAACATACATAGAATTACTTGTAAATCATAACCTCTGCTGTCCTCCCTTACTGGCAGGGCGCGGGGCATGGAAATTTTGGTTGCGTTTCAGCTTATCTTCTTATAGGTGTGATACTATTATACCTTCACTGAGAGAAAGAAATTATCATCCAGCTCTACAGCTTTTCATTCAGCTTAAATTCTGTATCCTGGGGAAGCAATCTTGAGTTTCAAAGCAAACCAAGTTATATATGGCCCTCCTCTAGGTAATTGGTTCTTTTTTTTTTTTTTGAGACAGAGTTTCACTCTTGTTGCCCAGGCTGCAGTGCAATGGCGCAATCTTGGCTCACTGCAACCTCTGCCTCCTGAGTTCGATTGATTCTCCTGCCTCAGCCTCCCAAGTAGCTGGGACTACAGGCATGCGCCGCCACATCTGGTTAATTTTGTATTTTTAGTAGAGACGGGGTTTCTCCACGTTGGTTAGGCTGGTCTCGAACTCCCGACCTCAGGTGATCCACCCACTTCAGCCTCCCAAAGTGCTGGGATTATAGGCATGAGCCACTGTGCCCGGCTTTTTTTTTTTATACATGTGGAAATTATTATATGAACTTTGAATAACCAGATAAACTTCTGCTTCTCTTTAGAATGTATGTTAATTTTCCTATTTCCTATTAGATTAAGTAATTTTTAATGTTCATCTCTAGTAATATTGTCCTCGTGAAAAGAAACGCCTTTTCCCAGTGTATTGGACCGCTATAATGTGGCCCTCGAAGTTTGTTGTAGTAAAAGAAGTGATTTATGTAAGTACTGAATGACTGAATAACAGACACTGGTTTCCCTTTTGTCTGCTTATCTTGTATTTTGCGTACCAAAACATTTTTCTCCTAAATATACAACTGTGCATGATAGTGGGCACCATGCAGGGTGCAAGATAGCGCTGTGTGTCTGCACGGGACATTTTCGCTTTAGGAGATCTGCCTCCTTTTATTTATTTCATCGCTTGTCATGTCTTTTGCGTTGTTGCATTTTGTTTTTGTTTTTCTTTATTTTTGAGACAGAGTTTCACTCGTCACCCAGGCTGGAGTGCAGTGGCACAACCTCGGCTCACCGCAACCTCCGCCTCCTGGGTTCAAGCGATTCTCCTGCCTCAGCCTCCTGAGTAGCTGGGATTACAGGCATGTGCCACCACGCCTGGCTAATTTTTGTATTTTTAGTAGAGACGGGGTTTCTCCATGTTCGTCAGGCTGGTCTTGAACTTCTGACCTCAGGTGATCAGCCTGCCTCGTCCTGTTGTGTTTTTTTCAAACATTTTATTCATCCTAAAGCCCTTGAGCCTACAACTTTGGCTTTTTATCAAGGAATCCAGAAGCTTGCTTCTGCACAGTTCAGCTAAGTAATTCTAAACCAAAAAACAGTAATTTTTAAAAATTATTATTTAGGCCAGGTGCAGTGGCTCATGCCTGTAATTCCAGCACTTTGGGAGGCTGAGGCAGGTGGATCACCTGAGGTTGGGAGCTCGAGACCAGCCTGACCAACATGGAGAAACCCCATCTCTACTAAAAGTACAAAATTAGATGGGAGCTCGAGACCAGCCTGACCAACATGGAGAAACCCCATCTCTACTAAAAATACAAAATTAGGTGTGGTGGCGCACGCCTGTAATCTCAGCTACTCAGGAGACCAAGGCAGGAGAATCCCTTGAACCCGGGAGGTGGAGGTTGTGGTGAGCCGAGATCACACCATTGCACTCCAGCCTGGGGAACAAGAGCAAGACTCCGTTTCAAAAATATATGTATATTATTTAGATATTCATTAGATCTGCAAAAACTAATTTTAAACTAAAGTTATTACTTTCCCACATCTGGGGGATGTGATCAATTAGAAAATGAGGATATAAGAAAGATAGCTTTGCCCAAGCTGGTGTTTTGTTTTTGGTTTTGAGACATTGCTCTGTCACCCAGGGTGGAATGCAGTGGCTTCATCATGGCTGTCTGCAGCCTTGACCTCTCAGGCTCAAGAGATCCTCCCACCTCAGCCTCCTGAATAGCTGGGACCACAGCCACGTGCTACCACACCCAGCTAATTGTTTGATTTTTTGTGGAGACACTCTCACTGTGTTGCTCAGGCTGCAAGCTGGTGTTTTAAACAGATGAAGCTGGAAAGTTCTTCAGCTTCTCCAGAGTTGTTTTTTTGAATTGTGGGGTTATGGAGCTTACATGTAAATACAAGTGTACCTTGAGTTAAATCTCCAGAAAGATTTAGAATGGCCGTGTTGCCAGAGCTCTCCTAGTTAGCCTGCAGGAGTGTCTGAAGTCCATGTCTGTCTGACATGTTACCGGAATTAACCCAGGGATGTTCAGTGCTCCTTCATGTGACTTTCTGGCTATCTCACCTGCCACTCAGTGCCGCTGTGATTTAGCAGCCAGAGTTTTCCGGAGACCTCCAATGTGTCTGTTGAAATTCAGGGTAAGAGTTGAGAAGTTTCCCTGTTTGTTCTAAGAGGTCTTACCCTTAGCTTAGGCGAAATCAATAGTAAATTTACTCTGACTTTAATGATCAATAAAGAAGTGCCCTTGCTTCATCCTCTTTATATAAAGCAATAGAGTCACATGGTTCAAAAATCAAGACAATATGAAAAGGTATTTTAAACCAGATAAGTGTCTGAGACAAGTCTTGCCCATTTAGAGGTTTATTTTGCCAAGATTGAAGATGTGCCTGAGAAGGAGACGCAACCACAGATCTGTGGCCCACACTCTTTCCAAAGAAGATTTTTAGGGCTTTAGTATGTGGGATATGATGAGGTTTTTCTTCAAATAATCTGATCAATATTTTATTCTTTAATTCTTAGTACCCCCCATTTTTATCCTTTTTTCCTTTGTTAGATGCCCAGGCATGCCACAGTACCAAGTGTTATCAGTGCCAGCTCACATTCCTTTCCTTATTTGGAAAGAGGACTAACTTTCTAGCTCATTACAGACACCCCTTCCCCTTCCTTTCCACTTTCTTTTACGTGCCCACCCTATCTAAAAAAATCAAGTGTTTAGCCAAGTGGGATTAGTTTAGATTGTACGACCCGACCCCAGCCAATGGAAAAAGGTACAGGGGCAGGACTTGTGTCAGGAATAAAGGCTCTTGTGCCCCTTTGTTCAGGTGTGCTCTCATGGCGACTGGCCAACGAGGCACCCCTCTGCGCAGAAGTAAAATTGCTTTGCTAAGAATCCTTTGTTTGAGTGTTCAATTTCCTTAGGATTTTGAGCGTTATTCCTAACAAGTATTTAAAAGGGAAAGAGCAGGAAGGGAGAGAAGAGGGAAAGGAAAAATAAAGGAGGGTAGGTAGGGAGATAAGTGGTTACATTCTTGTGAGGCTTTGATTAGCGCTCACCAAATCTACATGTCATAGTGAAAGGAGGGGGTAGAGGAACAGTTATGCATTCAGCTCAGTGAATCTACATTTAGCGCTCACCAAATCTACGTCACAGTGAAAGGAGTGGGCAGAGGAACAGTTATGCATTCAGCTCAGTAAATCTACATTTAGCACTCACCAAATCTACATGTTACAGTGAAAGGAGTGGGCAGAGGAACAGTTATGCATTCAACTCAGTGAATCTACATTTAGCACTCACCAAATCTACATGTTACAGTGAAAGGAGCAGGCAGAGGAACAGTTATGCATTCAGCTCAGTGAATCTACATTTAGCGCTCACCAACTCTACATGTTACAGTGAAAGGAGTGGGCAGAGGAACAGTCATTTATGCATTCAGCTCAGTGAATCTACATTTAGTGCTCACCAAATCTATGTGTTACAGTGAAAGGAGCAGGCAGAGGAACAGTCAGTTATGCATTCAGCTCAGTAAATCTATATTTAGCGCTCACCAAATCTACATGTTACAGTGAAAGCAGCGGGCAGAGGAACAGTTAGGCATTCAGCTCAGTACATCTACGTTTTGTCTCAGGGCTGGTGAGGGATGGTTTCTGGTGTTGTCTTTGTCCCTTACCTATGAAGATAAGCTGTTAATTTATATTGTCGGGTGAGGGAGACCACCTGGGGAGATATGTGGCCTTCTGTCTTATAGCTTATCTGTTTAGGAACAAAAGGAAAAGTTTTTTGCATGTTCCATGACTCAATTTCCAAACTTAACTTTTCCCTTTGGCTTAGTGAATTTGGTCCCAAGATTTTATTTTCCTTTCACAGTATACCCCATGCCCATCAATCCCATTTTCCCTGCATCCTATAGGTAACCCCTTCGTAAGCAAATACAACTAGATACATCCTTATTTTCTCTCTTTTTAAAAACTTTATCTTACTGTTACTTTCTGCTATCCTAATTATGGCACATTTTTACTTTCTAGGTTCTGTGATTTACAGAGTGTTCTGGCTATATAGACAGCTTCTAAATTGTCACCACATTTTGGAACAAGATGTATTATTTTTACTATTTACATTTAACATGAATCATGATCCGAAGTGCACCAGAACGTCTTCATAACATTCACCAAAGAAGAGAGGGCAGCACTGCTCTTCTCCAGTGTAGCTCTCGCCTGGTCCAGTTACCAGAAATAGTTCTTTCATCGCTGTGATGTCCTGGGTGGGCTTCATTTTTTAGTAATGTACTTTGTCTATAACAACTTCCTGCAACTATGTGAACAGATCTTGAAGACACACAGTGAGGTCTGTTTCCTTTGTCCTCTTAAGTCTTTATGGTTGTTGCTTCTATTGTTTTATTGGTCCCAATGAGAACTGGAGCTGACCTGATGTCATGATCTGTGAAAAGAGTTTCTATTAAGGAAGAAGTACCAGGAAATCCCATATGCCACTGTAGACCTGCCTCTCTGGATACCATTCACTATTCCATACTCCAGCTGCCATGCACAATGGTTGTGCATTGAGGCCCCCGTGATCATTAACAGGAGTAGAAGCTGGGTTCAGACACTCTGGCACTTGCATAGGTCAAGGGCTGTGTTGTGCTCTTGCAGCAAATCCCACATAGACATCCATATGCATATTGTCCCACCAACATCCCCTAAGCAGAAACCAGGGTTAAGTACGAACAGTCCCGAGAACATTTGGGTTGCCCGGCCTTAGGTGAGCCTTTCTGGGGCTGGGATTTTGACAGCACCTGCTCCATTGTTTCTCAGCTGCTGTGTTCTGACCCATCAATTGTTTCACCGCACTATCATCACGGAAAGCTTGGTCTCCCTCAAAACATGAACTTGGTAGGCCCTGTGTTCCAGTGGGGGCTTTTGGACTTTAGTGTTTAGGACAGAGTCCCGCTCCCCTCTGTGGTGTTGGGGTATTAGTGAATCCGCCTTGAAGAGAAAAGGGGCTGGGGCCTCAGCCTCCCAAGAGGCCGTCACTGGAGAATGGTCTCCTGCCCTCAGATCTTGGGCGTTTCCACAGCACACTGTGCCCCTCTCTCCTGCCAAATACCTACATACGCTCTTGTAATAGGAGGGCTGGGAACTCCACCCAAAACCATACAAAAAGCCAGTCTGTGTATTTGGACGCCTCCCCAGCACTCAGTCACCGAGTTCCTCCAGTTCCTCTGTTCCAACAGCAGTCGGTCACTCTCACGCAGTTTAAGTGATTTATTGATGTCTCGGCTAAGCTTGCGACAGTTTCAGGACGTTTCAGCCATCAAGGTCTAAGAATCCCTTTCCATTCCCGAGGAGCCCTCAGCCAGCCTCCTCCTCCTTCACCTCCTCACTCTGGCCGCGTAGCCCCTCATGGCGTCCATCTTGGACACCCCTTTGTTCGCGCTCCATGCCGCCCACTTCCTTCTTCAGCTCCTCACTCTGGCCGCCTAGCTCCTCACGGCGTCCATCTTGGACACCCCTTTGTTCGCGCTCCCTGCCCCCCACTTCCTTCTTCTTCAGCTCCTCCACTTTGGCCGCGTAGCTCCTCATGGCGTCCATCTTGGACACCCCTTTGTTCGCGCTCCAAGCCTCCCACTTGGCCCTGGCCTTCACGTCTGAGGCCGGAGGGGCGGGGACGCCGCAGTCGCCCTGGGTGGCTTGTTTGTAGAGGCCGTAGATCAGCAGCTTCTCCGGATCGCTCACAGGACCCTTCAGCTGCTTGAGGGCCGCGCGCGCCAGCTCGAACTCCACTTGGCACATGAGGGGGTGGAGGCGGTGCCTGGTGCTCGAAGCTGGAGGTGGAGAGTTGGAATGGCGGTTACTACTCGATCTCAGGGGGGAACGCAGGCAGGCACACGATGTTTGTGTTTTCTCAAGCACAGGCTGCAAGCTCGGGGTCCCGCGTACTGGCGCCACCCCACCACGTTTGGGCTCACACGGTGCATTTTCTGGGGAGGAACAGCCGTCAAAAGCGTCTAGGATCCGGGCCGCTGCTGTCTGAAGGGGGCGGCGCCGCGCGGCAGGAGCGCGTTGAGGGACTGTGTGGGGGGCGGACTGGACGCGTGGGAGTGGAAGCCTCGCGCGGTGCGGCCGCGCTGGGTAGTGGGCGGCCCGCGGGAGGCGCTCGGTGGCGGTGAGCTGTGTGCGGGGCACGCCCGGGGTTACCGGGTGAGGGTGAATGCGGGGCCGGGGACTCGTGAGCCGGACCCGCTGAGACCCCAGAAGCGGGCCCGGGCAGGGGACGGTGCGGAGGGGTCTGGGGAGCGACGCCTGGTACCTGAGGGTCGGTGGGAGGCCTCTGCCAGAAGGCGGCGCTGTGCGCTTGGCGCGCTCGTTCGTGAGGACTGCGCGTGCGCAGGGGAGACTGTGGGCGGGGCGGGGCGGGGTTGTGGGCGGGGCCTGAGCGCCGCCGCCGTGGCGCCTGCGCCGTCCATTGTGCTGTGCGTCCCGCGCCGCGTTCGCGTTCTCGGAGTGGAGGGGGCGTTAGCCCCGCTCGGCCGCCGGCGTCGCCGCCATGGACCTAGGTGGGTGTCGCGTCTCCTCAGCCCCGGTCTGCGTCCCGCGATGCGCCACCGGGACGGTGCCGCCCCGTCGCGTCTCCTCCTGCCGCGCACGCTCGCTTGGGCCCGGGCCAAAGCGTCCACCACGTCGGGGCGGGTCTGGGGGTCCCCGGGTGGCCTTGACGGGGGTGGTCCGGGTCCCGCTGCGCGTTGGGCCGTGTCTTGCCCACTCCGCGGGAAAACACCGAGCAGACGTAAAGTGAGAGCCCCTGGAAACGCCCGGGGCCCGGGGCTCGCGCACGTGCTTTGAGAAACGGGCTTTCTCCGAGCACCCCCGGGTGTCCCGGCGGCCTCATTTCCTGAACGGCAACTGCGTTCTTGAGCAAGCGTCTTAGGCTCCAAGTGTCTTACGCTCATCAGGTTTCCTCATCGACAGAGCTGGGGGAATGGCAGTGTGTCTCCCCACTGAGTGTTGGGCGACTTTTCATGGAGATCGCCGAGGTACAGTGTCCCGTGCAGGGCTGCGCGGGTCACACCGCGGTTGGGGCGGCTGTGTTCCTGAGGCGTCACTTTCTGAACCTGCGTGCGTCCTGATTCAGAATCTTGCAAGGTCTGGGAGAGGGGGAACCCTGGAACTAGGAGCTCCCTGCTAAGCCTCGACACAGGCTGCTAAGACCAGGAGGCTGTTCTGGGAGAGCTGGGGGTGAGGCACCCCGAGATGTGTCAGCAGTAGTAGGCTGGGGGGAAATGGTCTGTTCCCCGCCCCCAGAGAGCTCTTCAGGAGCGGTATGGCAGAACTCTTAGGGCTTGGAGCCCCTTAGCCGTAATTGCCTCCCAGCCCCACCACATCCAGGCGGGGGCACCCTCAGCAAATCGTTTCTGCGCCTCAGTGTCTTCTTCTCTAAAACGGGAATAATAGTCCTCAAAAGGTGGTTGTGAATCGAAGAGATCTTACATGTGCACCACCTAGCACCGTGCCTGGCATGGAGTAGGCGCATAATAAACCTTAGAAGCGGGCTCTGGTAAGCACTAGTTAACCATCCGTGATGAAGCACCGGAGTGTTTTCCAGCTAGTAACTGACTTACTACTTCAAACTGTGGGTACTTACTGCGCCTGGAAGGCAGGTGTTGAGGGCCAAACATCTGCTCAGCTAATCCAATAATGCAATAAAATAAAATTTACAGCGTCAGGAGGGACCATATTTTGGGACCCTGGGAGAGCCTCCTGAGCCAGAAAGAAGGGCCGTAACCCCCAGAGAGGTCCCCTCTGCAGCCTGACCTTCCCTGGGAGTCAGACTCAGCCACTGTGAGCTGAGATGGATTGCCTCCACAAGTGGGTTACATAGTGCTGAACCCTTGTCCTGCTGCTGCTCTCATAAATGGTGGGAAGGGTAAGATGGTCCTTAGTTTCCTGGAGTCAGCGTTTTCTCTGCTGGTGTCTGGCCTGGGAAAATGGGGAATATGAGCTCTCGTGGGCATGAGAGACTGAGGAAGGAGTAGCATCTCTCAATCCTAGGAGAGGGGAGAGGCCTCAGGAATGAGGAATAGGAAGCAGTATTTGTACCCTCGTTTTAGTTTCTAGGCCAAAGGAAACATGCCTGATAAAGGCCTACATCCTTTGATGTTTCTGAGCTGGGGGAGGCAAAGAATAGTGACAAGATTCTGGTCCTGCCAACTATGAAAAGGTTTGGGGAAACCAACATTTACTGAGTACCTAACTAGACTCTGTAACCCGATTCTTATTGTAGCTGTATTTATCTATCATAGCGTCCCGGAGAGATGGGGTCAGGAGATAGCAATACCAACCCACTAGAAAGGGCTTGACTGGTATATATCACATGATCCTCAAAGTTATAACATGAAGTCTGTATTATCCCCACATATGCAGAAGGAAGGCTTGGAGAAGCAACTTGACCAAGATTACATCCTTTTTTTTTTTTTTTTTTGGAGATGGAGGGGGGTCTCATTATGTTACCCCAGCTAGTCTTGAACTCCTGGCCTCAAGGATCCACCTGCCTCAGCCCCGCCAAGTAGCTGGGATTACAAGTGCTAGCCACTGCACGTGGCCAGAATCACATTGTTTTTAAATGGCTGAGCTAGGATTTAAACCCATGTCTGATTAAACATCCCAAGATGCTTTCCATGGTAAGTCTGTGTCAATCGTTAGTTCCCTGAAGGAAGGCTTAATCTAGCACAGTATTTTCTGTATCTACTCCCTGGTTTCTCCCACAGAGCAGGGCCATGAGTAGCTTGTTTTTGACCAGAAGGAGCTGTGGGGTGGACTGTTTACCTGAAAGGTAGAAGAATGTTTGAGGCCTGTTCCCAAGGCAAGGTTGTAAAGGGTGAAGGCAGGGCTTGTCTGATTCCTTCTGTGCCCATTACTCCATGGCTGTGTGATTGCTCTGTGCCCATTACTCCATGGCTGTGTGATTGCTCTGTGCCCATTACCCTGTGGCTGTGTGATTGCTCTGTGCCCATTACTCTGTGGCTGTGTGATTGCTGTGTGCCCGTTACCCTGTGGCTGTCTGATTGTGTGCCTGTTACCCTGTGGCTGTGTGATTGCTTCTGTGCCCGTTACCCTGTGGCTGTATGACTGCTTCTGTGCCCATTACCCTGTGGCTGTGTGATTGCTGTGTGCCTGTTACCCTGTGGCTGTGTGATTGCTTCTGTGCCCGTTACTCTGTGGCTGTGTGATTGCTTCTGTGCCCATTACCCTGTGACTGTGTGATTGCTTGTGTGCCCATTACCCTGTGGCTATGCCCCCTTCATCTGTCATGAGAAGCTCAGCTGTCATGTCCTGTGGTACATGCTCAGTGGCCCCTGTAGTTTGCCTTCCTGCTATTTCTAAACCCCTCTCCCCACATCCTCTGCTGGCCCACCCTTTGCTGGAGGGTCTGGCCTCAGCAGCCCAGCTTTTTCTTTTCACACACTTTTCCTGAAGGATCTCATTCACGTCTTGGTTCCAGTGATCCCTCTGGGCAGATAACTCTCAGAATCACATTTCCCAGCTGACTTCCCTCCTGAACTTCCACCCGGCATTTCCATTGCTGGAGGACGTCTGTCACACCTGTTCTGATTCTCCAGCATTCCCTATATGTGACGCCACCCGGTTCCCAGGCTGGAGAGCTCGGAAGCCATTCTGGATTCCTCGGCCAGGTCCTTCTGACTCCAGCTCTGCAGTGGCTCTTGTAGCCATCCCTTCTCCCCTTCCACTGATGTCATTTAAAACCCTTGTCATCTCTAACCATGACCACCTACTAACAGCAGTGGCCATCTGGAAACATTTTCACTACACTCTTATTTGGCTTGTCTACGTGCAGGGCCCTTGAACATCTGTGAAGAAATGACTATTCTGCATGGAGGCTTCTTGCTGGCCGAGCAGCTGTTCCGCCCCAAGGCACTGGCAGAATTGACAAAGTCTGACTGGGAACGTGTTGGACGCCCCATCGTGGAGGCCTTAAGGGAGATCTCCTCGGCCGCAGCACACTCCCAGCCCTTTGCCTGGAAGAAGAAAGCCCTGATTATCATCTGGGCCAAGGTTCTGCAGCCGCACCCCGTGACCCCCTCCGACACGGAGACACGGTGGCAGGAAGACCTGTTCTTCTCGGTGGGCAACATGATCCCCACCATCAACCACACTGTCCTTTTTGAGCTGCTCAAATCCCTGGAAGCTTCTGGACTCTTTATCCAGCTCCTGATGGCCCTGCCCACCACCATCCGCCATGCAGAACTAGAGCGCTTTCTGGAGCACGTGACCGTTGACACTTCTTCTGAAGACGTGGCCTTCTTCCTGGACGTCTGGTGGGAGATGATGAAGCACAAGGGTCACCTGCAGGACCCCCTGCTCTCCCAGTTTAGTGCAATGGCCCATAAGTACCTGCCTGCCTTAGATGAGTTCCCCCATCCTCCAAAGAGGCTTAGGTCAGACCCAGATGTGTGCCCCACCATGCCCCTGTTGTCCATGCTGCTCCGCGGGCTGACGCAGATCCAAAGTCAGATCCTGGGCCCGGGGAGAAGGTGCTGTGCGCTGGCCAACCTGGCCGACATGCTGACCGTGTTTGCGCTGATGGAGGACGACCCCCAGGAGGTGTCTGCAACCATGTATCTGGACAAACTGGCCACCGTGATCTCCGTGTGGAACTCGGACACCCAGAACCCCTACCACCAGCAGGCGCTGGCAGAGAAGGTGAAGGAGGCAGAACGGGATGTCAGCCTGACCTCACTGGCCAAACTCCCCAGTGAGACCATTTTCGTGGGCTGCGAGTTCCTGCACCGCCTGCTGCGGGAGTGGGGGGAGGAGCTGCAGGCCGTGCTCCGCAGCAGCCAGGGGACAAGTTATGACAGCTACAGGCTATGCGACAGTCTGACTTCCTTCAGCCAGAACGCAACGCTCTACCTGAACCGCACCAGCCTGTCCAAGGAGGAGAGGCAGGTGGTCTCTGAGCTGGCGGAGTGTGTCAGGGACTTCCTGAGGAAAACGAGCACGGTGGTGAAGAACAGGGCCTTGGAGGACATCACAGCTTCCATCGCCATGGCCGTCATCCAGCAGAAGATGGACCGTCATATGGAAGTGTGCCACATTTTTGCTTCTGAGAAGAAGTGGGCCTTCTCGGAGGAGTGGGTAGCCTGCCTGGGGAGTAACAGGGCCCTCTTCCGAGAGCCAGACTTGGTGTTGAGGCTGCTGGAAACAGTGATAGACGTCAGCACAACTGACAGGGCCGTCCCCGAGTCTCAGATCCGGCAGGTGATCCACCTGGTCCTGGAATGTTACGCAGACCTCTCCTTGCCAGATAAAAACAAAGTCCTTGCAGGTATCCTGCATTCCTGGGGGCGAAAGGGCCTCTCT